GTAAATAAACGGATAAATAAAGTAATAAAATTAAAGTTTATAATTATATTTACGAATTTTCTATAATTTAAAGTAAGTAAATTAAGCCGAGAAATTAATAATAACGGAGTAGATTTATAATAATTATTTTCATATCATTATTAATAAATTACCGTCCGAATTACTCTATAACTATTACTTATACAGTCTAACCAATTCAAATTAGAATCGTAAAAACGTATTCCCTACGGCGGCTACCGAAAAGATTACAAAATTAATTAAAGGACGAACCGCTATTACTAAAACCTTGAAAGAAATTAATAAAGATTATACGATATAGTATAATAAATCGCGCAAACCTAAAGAATTCGAAATCGGTAATCAAATCCTCCTTAATATAAAAAATATTAAATAATGAAAACCTAACGTTAAGTTAATAAAGAAATTCTTAGGGCTTTTTTAAATTACTAAGGTCATTAGTAATCAAAAAATAGATTACCGTTTTACCTTTCTAGAACGCTATTATATTTATTTAATATTCCTTATCACTTTATTAAAACCGTACTATAGCAATTCTAAAATAGTAACGCTATAAGGAAAAGTAGTAAATATCGAGGACAATTTTATATAATATAAAATAAAAACGATTATAAAATATCGAAGGTCGGGAACGAATTAATAATATTAAATAAAATAGAAAGAATATTCGGATAATAATAACGAATAAATATTATAAAAAGATTTAAATTATCTAGAATTTTTAAAAGAATACGAAATAAAAGAATTACAAAGGAGGAAAACCGCAAAGGGCCTATTAATTAAATTAATGAAAATAAATTAAATAAGTTAATAAGAGGAAATTAAAGTAATTAACGAGTGTAACGCATTAATAATTATAGAATATTAATAATTATAATATATTTAAAATATTAAATAATTATAACGTATAATATATTAGATTAGAATTAGGGGAACTATATTAGACGATTATAATATATAATATATTAGATTAGAATTGGGGGAATTATATTAAATAGACGGGCGATGGCGTATAAATAGAAGGAAGAAGAATTAATTAAAGAATTATAGAAAATAACGAACTAAGAAATATAATAATACGCTGGTATCTAATTATCGATTATTTATTAAATTAATATTCTTTCCTCCAAACAATCATATTATTAATAAAATAAAATTAAAAAATTATAAAAATAAAAAGCTAAATATTATAATAACCGCCCATTCTAATCCTTAAATCTAAATTTAAATTATATATTAATATAAGAATCGAACCTATCTTTTTAAAAATTAAATTCTCGCGCGCAACTACTATACCTATTAATAAATAATTTAAACTCAAATTTCACCATCGTCTATTATCGTAGAGTTAAAAGGACGCTTCGACGAGCAATAAACAGCGAATATCGGCGTATACCAAATTTATAAGCTAAAAAATATCTGCTAAATCGATTATACTTATAGAGGCAACGGGAATTATTAAGAAAGTAGGAACTACGATATCGAATTATTCGCCGTCAAAAGTATAAATAGTAATAAGAATAATCTAATTAGTAGAACGACTATTAATAGGATAGCGGAAATTATAATACTCTATCTACTCGTTAAAGCGGTAATCATAAAATTTAAAAAGTATTAAAAGAAAAATACAAAGGCGTTTACAAAGAATATAAATTCTAATTACTAAAATATTAACGGAATTATAAAGGGTAATAATAAAGGTAAGTATAATATTATCTATATTTCCTGCGTAAGTAGTAATTATATTCTTTTAGAACGCAACTACGCAATTATAAAGGGCCGGAAAGAAATTGTAAAAGCACCGGTTTAAAATTTTAAAATACGCCGAATATATATTATTACTTAAGAAATAACTTTATTAGCGTTATATTAATAGAAAAGGAATGAAAACCTAATAAACTTTATTAAATATAAATGAAATAATCTACGGCTAAGACTATAGTAATATTAATAATACCGGAGAGTAAATCGGTAATAGCGCTCGTAACCTTCTAAAAAGAAATAATATAAAATGGATCGTAAATAACGTTATTAAATAATTAATATAAGAAATATAAACTAGAAAAGAAAAGCGCTTACTAAAATTAAGAATGATCGAGCCTAATAAACAAAATTATATTATAAAGGGTATACTAATTAACAGGGTTTTGGAAGGCAGCAATAGGGGTAATATAAATAAATATATAAATTTATACGAAAGAAAGAAGAGAAAAAGAGGAAGGGAAGAAAGGTGGGAGGAAAGGTTCTTATAATTAGAATTAAGAGTATAAAATAGGGTAGAATTAGGGCAAATAATCGAAGTATAAGAATATAAGTATTATTATAAAAATTTTAAATGGGTTAATTTTAGACGATAAAATATAAAAAAAGCGGTAGGGGAAAACAGTACAAAAGAATAGAAAAACAATAAAGAGAATAATTTAGGACGAAAAGATAGCTAATAAATATTTAAATAGTAATAGAGGGGCAAAATATAATAAAATAGATGGTAATTAATTTAAACTTAGGACGGCGGCTGGTAGAAAATAAAAAAATAATAGATAATAAATAAAAAACGGTCGAAGCTAGCGAAAAAAAGGGATCAACGGGTATTAAGTAATAGGTTAACGCCAATATAGGAATAAGAAGAACTAAAGAAGGCAACGTTTCGGTAATAATATATTCAGTTATAGAAATAAATTACAGAAAATAGTAATAAAAGAGCGCCGGTAAAGAAACTACTAATATAAAATATTTATAAGTTTCTAAAATAGAAATTTAAGAGAGGGGGGGTTATATTAAATAGTTAAGGACTTATTAGGCGTTAGACCCGTATTAATACCGAGGAACACCAATATCCGTATAATATAGCGCCGTAGTACAGCGTCGGAATAGTTCGGAGCCGTCGCGGACTTAATTACTATAGGATAGAGCTTACAATAATATAAATAGCCGGTCGGATTCGTTTCTAGAATTATTACAATTAATTATTGATATATTTTTAGTCCTCCCCCTACTTTAACGTCCCCTACGTACTTACGCTATCTGTAGGCACCTCAACCTACCTTCCTCTACAATCCTAACAAGAAACGCTCGAAACTTAGTAAAAAGAATAATTGAACCGGTTAATATTATACGTATTATTAATAATTATAATTTCGGGAAATATTTTAACTATCAATATATAGATTAGAAAAGTAAAAACGAAGCCCAATATCCGTTCCCTATTATTTAAATCTATCTTTTTAATATATTTAATATTATTATTATTAAATAATTCAATTAAAGTACTAGTAGAGGTATAGCTATTGAAATTATAACGATGAATACGTACGCGTACGTTATATATATCGGCTCTTATATATACGGATTTAGGGAAGTCCTTTCGTACTATAGTAGTAATTTTTCGAATTTATATAATCTTAAATTTAAAGGTATCGTTAATTTTCTTAAAGATTTCTGGCTTTATTTTCTAATGTTGGGGGTGTGTAAATAGGTACTAGGATTGGCCCTAGTTATAGATTTAATAGTTTAGGTTAGAGTACAACCGAAAGTACTAAAAATTATTACTTTTAGTATCTTTATTTACAAACCCTTTCTATTAATAATTATACTTTCGTAAGGCTATTTTTTGAATAGTTATTGTAAATTCGCGGGGTTTATTATAGCGGTTATATATAATATAATACTATATATAGTCTTTGATAGCGGCTTTCAGCTTACTACGACCTTATATACAATTAATTACAAATCTATAAAGTTTCACCTATTCGTTAATAGCTTTATAAACAGCTTTAATTATAGCCGCGGGAAGTATAGTATTAGTAGAGGGTAGATTAATAATTATATCCCTATAATTAAAGAATTCTTTGTATCTTTCGTTGTCGCTATTATTATTAGTTAGTTCGGTGCTTTTACGAGAAGGGAGATCGCGATTTGAATTAGAATTAAAATCGCTCTCTTATTAAAGTAATTATATTAAGAGAAGCGGATTAGGCGAGCGTATACTAGATTCGCTATTAAAGTCGCTAAGAGAGTTAACGAGAGTATCGTTGTTAAAAAAACCTTCCTATTCCTTATCGACGTCGGTAAAGGGATTGTTATCGCTATTAGTATCGTCGATTTAAGTAAAGTCGATGGCTACGCCGTTATTTAGATTCTACGGTAGTATTTTAAAACTTTAAAAGCTTTATATATAATATGCGTAATATTGTATAGCTTTAGGAAAATTAGTAAATAAATCTAGTAATGTATATAATTAATATTTACGTACGTGCGGTCGATTCTAGCCTATTCTAGCGATTAGAGGTGGCTTAGTCATAAAAAGAGAGTAGAAAGAAGGTTGTGAAGATTAAAGAGGTTTAAAATTACTAAGTCTAAAGATAGGGGTCTTGTATATATAGGTCGTATATATAGGGTCCATTAGTTAACTAGGTTTAGTATTGTCTTATACGGAAAAGGTATTATATAATTATAGTAAAAAATATTTTGTACGTTAAACCCTAACCCGATGGGTACCCGTATAGGGATGGGTGCCCATGTAAGACGACCCGGGTGCCCGCGGATGAAATGCCGTGAAATAAGCGGCTGTTCTTATAGCATTGGCACAGGAACAGTTTGACTCATTCTTCGCTGCTCTTAGGTTAGCAATCATACCTCTAGCTCCTCCTAGGTCACTGGTGTGTATGGTGTCATTCTGGGTACTGAACATTGGAAGCAATGCAGAGTACCTCCTAACATGCAATGACTCTTTTAATCACCTAATCACTTATAACCAGGAGGAACTCAATATGAGAGATCTATGAGAGGCAGGTGAATACTTGGTTTGTGATTGTATGGCGAAATGATCACACACGGCAGTGCATCTCGTTTTACGCAACCACAGGCAGGGAAACAACAATTCACAGACATGTTAAGACAACTATCTCACTCGGTCACTGACCAACCCACAAGCACAGTCATAACGTACAGTCATCCCCACCAATGATTCCCAAAGACCTAAAAACCAGTCACCTGTCCCTTAGGCTTTACCAGCCTGAGCACTAGCAGCACCGTCAATCAACGACAGCAACCCATCGACCAGCGTCCTGCAAATCGTTCCAGGTCCGCACCCAGCAGCGACACCACCAGCCGCATCACCGGCTCCCGCAGCCGGCGCAGCCGGGGCCGCCACTCCCTCCTTATTGTCACCCGCCGCCGGCGCAGCAGGCGCCACAGCCGCCGTTCCATCAGGCACAAAAAGGGCAAACTCTCCAACCAAATCCGGAACCTTGGTAGCGACCTCATTCTCATCCGCCTCAAACTCGGTCTCTCCCACACCATCACCAATCACAAAGCTGTTGGTCTCGGTGCATAGCTTGCCCAGCTTCGCCTGGCTGATGTCGGTCGTGGAGTTGGCGTTGCGGATGTAATCGATCTTGGAGAGGGTCAGGCCCTTGGAGGCACCACCGCCAATTTCGACCTTGTAGGAGACGGGCTCGAGGGCTTTGAAGCCGGGGGGAGCGGCGGCGGGGGTCTTGTTCTCTGTTACGCGGAGTTGGCGGGCGTCGGGGTTTTTGAATTCTACTTCGAAGGCGCCGTTGGCCTGGATTGTTGATGGTTAGTTACCAACTGACTCATTGGTCTGGGGGATTGTGTGTATGACACGGATGGGTGAGTGAGGTGGGATAAACTTACGCCGGCGGGGAATTGAGTGTCGGTTTTGACATTACCGCCACCGAGAGTGATGACGGTGTTGAACTTGCCGGCTTGCTCGACCTCGTTCGGGTCTTCCTCTTCTTCCTTGCCCCCAGTGCCGGCACCAGCGGTGGCAGTGGCCGAGGCAACAGCGGAGGCAGTTGCGGATGCTACGGCTGTGGCAGAAGAGGCAGCGGCTACGGCCTCCTTGTTGGGATGGGGAAGAGCCGCAACGGACAAGACCTGGAGAGCCAGGATGAGGCTGGATTGGAACTTCATCTTGAACGATTGAGGTGTTGTTTGTTTTGTTTTGTTGGTGGTTATGAGTGAGTGGAAGGGGTATATCCAGCGAGCGAACTCGAAACTTGATCAAAGATGGTATTGGAGAATGAATGTCGGGGCCAGCCACCGAAAGGAAGAACAGAAGGCAAGTTGAAGCGAAAGAAGCCTGTGGAGATAATGATGATGTGTGTGATGAGCCAAGTAAACAGGTCAATCCATGCAGATGTCGATCACCGCATTTATACATCTTTCTATCTACTCGATCGCCAAGAAGATACCATTGCTTGGCCGACATCAAAGAGGGCCATCCCAGAACTCTGTCTATCATCTCATTATCATCTTCACTATTAAGCCCACGGCACTTCTTGGTTTTTTCCAAAACATACTGACACTGCCAAGATAAGAGTCAAGACTTTGCCAAGCAAGAAATCTCTGTACGCGGTGCCGGATTCCCGACTTTTTGTGTGGATGAAATGGTTGCTGGTGGTGGTGAAAGGGATTGTCGTTGTAGTGGTATACTAGAGGTAGGTAGTAGTCTCTATTTCAATGTAATTGAAACGGGTATAGGGGGTGCCCTATGGTTGAAACCCAGTGCTAAGTCGTGCGTAGTTATGCATCTCGATAAAACAGAACTTTTAACCGAGTTTGAACTTGATTGAGGAAGTAGCTCCGGGCAGTTGGGCCGAATGCGTTAAGGTAAGACGGACGAAGAGAGGTTGTTGATGTTAAAAGTGGAGCTGCTAGGGGCTGCCAAGAAAAGGGGGTTTGTTTACTTGTGTCAGTGCGCATGGCTGCAAATGGCACGCTGCGACGGTAGAGTTGGGATGCGGTTAGACTTGCACGGGGATGAGGCCGCTTGACTGACACACGTGGTGATCCACTTGGCAGTTTTGGGATACTTCTAGGCGGCTATACCGTCTTGATGGATGCTGGAATTGGATGAACCAGATCGTCACACTTGGAACATGTGGTTGATGGCTCTGGGTTCGGGTTGAAGAGGCAATCATAGGGGTGTTGTTCTTGAGGTGCCGAATTGCCGAATGCCGATCAGACCTGTTCCCCGGATGCACTTGCTAACAAGAAACAAGATGTTTGAAGGAACCGGATCTGATAAGAACAAGACAGAGCCTCCCATCTCCAACCTCAGAAAGACCACAAGCATGGAAGATAGAGTATCTCGGCAGCAACCGAGTGATCAACGAATAGGTCGACGGTCAACACTCCAGGCGAGCGGTAATGACGCGTCTTCCCTCAACCTTCCAGACAAAATCGAAACGCAGGGGAATATTCGCAATCTTATCGACGTCGCATTCGTTTCTCATGATGTCAACAAAAGGAAGAACACTCACCCGCTCGTATTTCTGTCCCGTCGACATCAGAACAGGGAAACTGATCGTTTGCTCTCTTACCAAGCCCTACCAAGCTTTATCGAAGCTTTTCATCTCCAAAGCTTGTCATAGGTAGCGTTCGCCTGTTATGGACGCTCGGTAGCATTTCCGGACGTTGTTTACAGGCTAGCGTTACCCGAGCGCAACCATACTTAGCGGCTCATCACAGGGACCACACCCCCCGCAACGACAGGGGCTTGTTACGCCCTTCGTTTCCACCTGTTTCGAGGTCTTGGCCTTGCAAAAACACCATCTTATTGACGGATGAGAATCTTGGCGGTTGTCAGGAATCCCATTCTTGGCAGGTCGCACCATGGCCGTTGTCTGTTACAGAAGGTTGCTGTGGTACCGAATCGACGAGGGAATCGATGGACGCCACAAGCTGGACACGGCGGCTAGGGCACGTGCTGGGATAGGGGGTAACTTGGCGCTGTCGGTTTAGTGTGCCAGTGACACCACAGCGCCCCTGGATTATAGCAGGTTGATATCATCTCCTGGGTGTTGCTTGAAACAAAACCCAATGTCCTCTGTTTCTCTTCTCCTTTGCTTCTCTTTCTCACTTTTCATTCCCTTCGCCTTCCCTTCACCTTCATTCTCTTCATAAGGTACTAACAGGAGGAGTGCAGCCGGTCTGCGATTGTTGTTTGTTGTGTTCGTTGTTTACGTTCTTTTCGTCCGTCAATGCAGTAATTCACCACTTTCGTTCCACTTCGTTTCATTCCCGTCTTCGTCTCTCCTTTCGAGTCCACAATCAACATCAAATCGGCCGGCCGAATCCACTGGACACCTCAAAATAATATCAAAATGAGAGCCACAGCTCCCAATCTCCGCCGGCGGAACTTTGCCCGAGCGGAAGCCACCCGGGCCTGGGTCGAAGCCACAAAGAGACAAGCTCTCGACACCAGTGACGACTCCCTGAGCGATGCCAACAGCCTCAACTCACTGAGTGACAACAGTCTCAACTCCCTCAGCGACGACAACAGTCTCGACTCGGACTCCGATGCCGGTCGTCAACCACCACCCCAAACCACCAACCCCCCACAGCTCACCGGCGCCGCAAAGACTCGCCAACGTCTGACAGCCGGATCTCGGGGCAGAGTTACTCGTCGATCTCTTGAACAAAGACAGGTCATCAACACCTCAGACGACAATTCCGTCGACAGTCTTGACAACTCCCTCGCCAGCGCCGACTCCTCAGCCGATGAAGCCCGTCCTCTGCCTACTTCCACCAGACGCCCCAACCTCAGCTCCAAGACCCGCGCGCGTTTGGCCGCCAAGCACCGTCGTGCTCTCGACGCTCGCCAGGCACTAGACAGTGATTCCGCTGACAGCGTCAATGACTCCCTCGACAGTGGCGCCGAGTCATCTGCTGATGAGGCCAGGCCTTTGAGACGTCCCACCCGCACCCAGAAGACCCGTGCTCGTCGTGCTATTGACGCAAGGCAGGCGCTTGACAGCTCAGCTGATGATAACAGCCTGGACAGTCTATCCGACAACAGCCTCAACAGCCAGAACAGTCTCGACAGCGGACTCAGCGACGGCAACTCCCTCGATAGTAACTCTCTCGACTCCGCCTCCGACTCCGATGCCGCCAGACCGCTGCCTACCAACCCACCCAACATCACCTCCAAGGCTCCCAAGCGTCTCGGTGCTGGTTCCCGTTTGAACCGTCGTGAAATCCTCGGCACACACCATGACCTCGTAGCGTCCGCTGAAGCAGCTGCTGAAGCCGAGGTGCCTACTATTGCGCCGCGGGATTTGACTAATGCCCCTGCTAAGAGTGCCGAGTCGGAGGAGGAAGAGGAGGAATATGATGCGTATTCTGTGTCTAGTGTTAGTAGTGACGAGGAAGATGAGAAGGATGAGAAGAAGGAGAAGGAAACTGGCACTGGGACTGCCAACCCTACTGCTACCGCCACTGATGGCGCGGCGGCTACTACCGTTGGTGGTACTGCTACCGCGACGATTACCTCCGGACCTCCCACTACTTCAGAGCCGGCCGATGCTTTAGCACCCGTCAACTCGGATGACGCCACGGCGCTGCCTACCTTGACGCTTGCCCCGGAACACAGTACAGCCAGCCCGAGCAGTGTGCTCGGAGCCATCGACGGCCAGCCCCAGGCGGATACGCAAGGCCAACAGACGCTGGTGCCGGTGCCGAAGAAGATGAGCGCTGGTGCCACTGCCGGTATAGTCCTCGGCGTATTGGGTACGTCCCCCCTTCCCCCTTCCCCCTCATCCCATCAAGAGTGCCGTACTAAAACAAAAACAGGTTTCATCGCCCTCTGCACCGGCTTCTTCTTCCTCTTCATGAAATGGCGTGCTCGTCGCCGCCCCTCCTCCGTCTTTGGCACCCGTCTAGCCGACGACGAAAAGGGCGGTGACAACCGTGACATGCCCGGCGGTAACGTCCCGCCTGTGCGCATCACATTCACCCGCCCCTCCTGGCCGATCCAGGAGCCCAACCAGAACCAGGGAGGACAAAACGACACCTTTCAAGCCCAAGCCCAGCGTTATTCCAAAACCAACAGCGAAATGATCAACGACTTGATGCGCGCCGCCTATGCTACCGAAAACGGCGGAGCAGGCGGTAACAACATGGCAGCTGCCTACGGGCACGCAGACCACTACATCGACGAAAAAGCCTACGCCATGCTCGCCGGCCAACCCCCCACTCCCTCCGTTGCCGGCACGGAGAAGCGCGGGGTGAGCAAGTGGTTGGCGGATGTGATGACTCCTAGACAGTCGTCCATTTCTCAGAGGTGGCCGTACCCCGTTGATCCGCCTGAGTCGTTGCCCAGTCCGGTGGCGCAGGGTAGAGGTATGTCTGGTTATGGTAACAATGGGACAACTACCTCTACGAAGCAGAAGAGGTTGACGCCGCCGAGATTGCCGCTGAAGCCGGTTATGCCGGCTAGTTTGAGGCCTGGTGGTGGTGCAGGGCCGGTTGGGGGTGTGGGGTTGCCGCCGGGGAGTAATGTTAACCCTAGGATGACGGTGGTTTCGCAGACGACGAATACTACTAGCTCTACTGCTCGTTGGGGTTAATCGGGCAGTGCTAGATGTGTAGTTGAGGTGTTGATGGGTGGGGGAGTTGATTGTTGACTGGTAGAGAGTACGTGGAGATGAACTGTATGAGTGAGAGGAGATGAGATCGAGTGTGTGACGATAAGAGTACTGTAGACGTAGCTAACGTAGTTTAATAGACCGTTTATCGGCATCTTATGTTACTATCGCTTTCGTTTCATTGTGGTTGATCGTTGTTACATGGTTGTGATGCGATACCGGGACTGGATGCGGACGGAAGTTGCCGTGGTTGATCTTTGCGATATATGCGATAGTGAACGATGAAGAGTGACGGAGTAGTCGCCGACGCGGAACTTGCCATGGCTCTTGCTTCGAGTGGAAATACCGAATGGAAAGGAGAATGCTTGATGAATTAGCAATCCTCAGAGTGGCGCCCATTAAAGGGGGAATGATATTGTTGGGCGTCACTACAACCGTATGCTGGTGTTGATCTGTTGATCTGTTGTGATGTGAAGCTGGGTTGTGTGAGTGTGTGTGACGATGCGGAGTCCAGTTCTCGCAGTGTGCTGCAATGATGGACCGGCTCACGGCACACTGGCTGCCATAGTTTGGGTTTAAATGCTGGTGATGATCTTCAAATCGAATTGACCAGGGACTTTCAGAATCCACCAAACCACCCTCAGAATGAGACAAGCGGGAGGTGAAGTGATATCATCGAGTGTCTCGGGAGCATCATGGGAATCTGTGTGTGCCCTCAATCCCCTATGGTGAGCCCGTTAGCGGCCCGTGATGGGCCTGTTACGTCTAGTGTAGTGCTGTTGGGCTGTTAGCCACGTGATGATTGACTCGTCGGCAAATGAACGAAAGTGACGTACAACAATTAATGAAAAGAGTATTGTCATTTCAGCCCAAGGACTTTGCTTTTGCTGTAGCGCTCCTCGAGGCGAGAATCGCTTCCCGTTGTTGTTGGTGTTGCCAAGTCATTGCGATCATCTTATCGCGACCCCTGCTGATTGAGATCGACCCAAACGGCACTTCCCACCACACTCTAACGAGGGCGATCTCAGACACCGGTGCAGATCGCTAACCACTCGGCTGGTAGGCCTCCTTAATATCGTTTGAAGTCGTCTAATCCCTTTTAAAGTTCAGTCTTCGTCCTCCATCTCCCGAACGAGGTTTTCTTGTCTGTTTCAGTCATCAGCGGTCAGGTGTCGAGCAGAAATCCAACTGCAGTCCTTCTTTCAAACCAACCCCAGTCATTCTTTCGAAACAACAGCCAACTACCGTCATTCTTTGAGCAGCCGACCGCCAAGATGTCCCTCCTAACAAAAGCCGCCCTCCTCCTCGCCGTCGCCGGCTCCGCCCTCGGCGCCCCCACCATTACCAACCCCGGCGGCTTCAAGACCCACGTCTCCGCCACCAGTACCGGCAACCACATCCCCGGCCACGGCACTCACTTTGAGCTCCCCGAGCATCTCAAACGCAACTCTGTCCGCTCCATCCCCGGCGGCGGAGAGATCCAGAACACTGAAACGCCCCAGTCGGGCCAGGGCCAGTCGTTCTACACCAACCACACCTACGTCCCTGCCGAGGCCTACAACCGCACTGGCACCGTCACTAAGCGCGACGGTCAGGCCATCCCGATGTCTCACAAGTCTTCACTCCCCTTCGTCGACCAGACCACCGGTATCTCCTTCCAGCGGTTCTACGACTCGGCCAGCCAATTTTCCTTCGCCCTCGCTTTGTCCAGCTTACCCGCTGCCGGTTCCATCCTCGATGCTGAGCAGGCAAAGAACGACGCAACAGATTTCATCGCCCAACTCTCCTTCCCCCTCAACGCCACCACCGGCCTCGGCCGCGGCGCAGGCTGGGGCGGCATTTCCATCTCCCCCAAACTAACCGCCTCCCACCTGCCTCTCTTCCTCGGCATCCAAACCGACGGCTTCGGCAACCTCGCCTTTTCTTCGTTTACCGAAACCGTCAAGTCTGCTGCCGCCGACGCTGCCGACGCTGCTGCGCCCACAACCGCTGGCCAGCAAGCCTCAAAAACAGGAAAGGATCTAGCCTTCAAGATCAGGACCATCGAGTCGGCTACTAGCATCAACTCCACCTTTTTGACATACACCTTCTTGTGCGAGGGTTGTTTGTCCATCAGCAAATGCGCAGCGAACTTGGACTCGTGGAAAGCTGCCGGCAAGACCAAGGTTCTTCGTCTTGGCTGGGCGACGGGAGATACCGTTGTTTCTGGAGCCGCTGGTAACGAGACTGATGCTGCTTTGACCCAGGAGGGTGAGCAGAAGGCTGAGAAGGAAAAGAAATGGGCGTACCACCGGCTTGGATTCGGACACCTCAAGATCGACCTCGAGGGCGCTTTGGCACATAGCGCTGAGCAGTTTAATGCGTGGAAGGGCGTGGCGATGGCGGAGGAGGTTAGAGGGTTTGAGGGCGTGGCGCCGCCGTTTGCGATGGATTTGGTTAACGGTGTTGCTAAGGGCCATGCTGGAAAGGAGGTGAGCGAGGGGGCGAAGGAGGGGGAGAAGAAGGAGGAGGAGGGCGAGAAGGGTGTTGAGGAGGCGGAGAGCGAGAGCGATAGTGAGAGTGATAGCGACAGTGATTCTGACTGTGGATGTGAGTCGGATTCCGATTCGGATAGCGAGGATGAGGAGTAAGACGCCGGTTCTTGGTAGAGGTAATGTTGAGGATGAGAAAAGAAGGGGATGTGATACCCAGTTCGTGTCGGGATTCAGTTCAGCAAGAAGTAATGTTAATCGTTGAATCAAAGCATTTTTGATACCTCTTATTGCAGCGCCGTGACCTTCGTGAACACTTCGCTACAAGACGTCGACCGGTAATATCGCTGATGGAAGCGACGGGCCCGGATGTGTCGTTAGTGAATCCAAACCGCCGGACGACATGCACATGGTACACCACGAGAGAAACCTCGGGCTGCTGTGACATTCCTTCAATTTTCCAACTAACACCTCTGATCTGTCGCCAAACTAACAATACCCAATGCGGCAATGCCCCAGAACTCCTACGCCATGCTAATCCCCAAGAAAAGAGACTCATAACCATACTCGACATCCTGTTATCCAGCAATGTACAGAGCGCCCATCCGCTCCTCCACCCCCCTAACACCCTCTTTGGCCCTCTCAATCTCCGCCTCCAGTTCTTCCACATTCCTATTCAACGCACTAACCTCCTCAAACCGCCTCTGCGCTCTCGCGCTCTTCAACATCTCCTGCACCATGAACATCTGTTCCTCAAGTACCACCAATCTCTCCTTTGCCTCTTTCTCCTCGATATCCAGTTCCGATTGGACGACGCTGGCTTCGCTGGCTCCTGCGTTGCTTGATGTTTCCACGTCTTGGGTTAAGGCAGACTCTCCGTTTCGCAATGGCGAGAGTGTTGACGTAGAACCGTTAAGTAGCCGGCGGTGTTGATATTGCATGCTGTTACTGCGCAGCACCCTAGGTACGCTCTTCAGGGGAATCAGATTGGCGTGTAGGAAAGCCGACGCCGCAGCATAAACGGATTGTTGCAACCTCAACTGTGTCGGACTATTGGTCTTCATATCCCTTAACCTCTTGGCGGCAAGGTCGTATTTCGCGAAAGCGTCTGTTAGTCGTTTACGGATCTTGGCTGCTTCTTGGACTTGGGCGGACGTTGGTGGAGGTTTGTCCTGGCGGTAGTCGTCTTCGTTCGGGGGCTGGAGAGCCAAAAGCGCTTTTTGGAAGGAGGGCATCAACATCCGGATGCCTCGCTCGAACTGGCGGAGGGTCTCGTAGGCGCGTTGGTCTGGAGGTTTGTGTGCTATCGAAGCGGCGAAGTCACGGTGGGAGAAGATGGTGGATTTGCAATCGCGGCACATGCGAATGTCGAGGGTGGTGGTGGCGGTTCCGGGGGGCTTCTCTGTGTTTATCGTTGCTAAAGAAGGTCAGTAGCAGTCAACATGACAAGGTGAGGGGAGACCTACGACGAGCAACATCCAACCCGACCTCCGTCGAGCATGCCGTCTCCGGATCCGCGCAAACGACCTTCCCACATATCCGACAATGATGTCTCCTGAACGTCCAACTCCTAAACTCCTGCTTGCAAAAGGGACAGTTCGTAACCGCCCCATCCTCCTCCCAGCTCACCACGCTCTGCTCGATCATCTTCCTCTGACTCTTCTGCCCCGTCAATCCCAACAACCCCGGTCCCTCATCCGGCGGCATCTCCGCCAACAACCTCGTCAGCTTGGTCAACCGTTTCTCCAACCTCTGCACCTCCAGCTTGTGTCGGTCCACCCTCTTTGCTCGTATTGCCTTGAACTCGGCCATGTGATCCCTCACCGTTCCCTGGTGATCATTATACCCTTCCCTGCTCTTGAAGCACGTCTCGCACACTCGACACCATATCCCTCGCACAGGTTCGTGGTTGGCCGATCGCGAAAGCTTCATCTGGTACATGGTGTGTTCCTCGCAAAACAGACGCCCGCATTTCCGGCAGTTGACCAGCCCGCTGAACGGCCCTAACTTTCTCGTACACGTCGGATCGGTACAGGGGTCGTTCCCCGTTGGTCTCTGCCAGTGGTGTCGAGTGACTAGTTCCTCCGGGTCTACTGCCTTCTCTGCGGGTCGTCCGGGTGCGGTGGTGCTGGCGGCAGTCGCGACGACGGGTTGCGTCTCGTTCGATTCGAAAACATCGAGCCCGCGCAGGGTCTGGTTGATGATGTTCAGCGGCTGGAACTTTTTCGCTTTGCGGACTTGTTTGTCGAACCACGATTTAACCTCGTCCTGCGTCTCTTCGGGGAGCTCTTGGTGGACGTCATCGATGTGTCTGTTCAGCTGGAGCAAGGTGACCATTTCCTCTTCGCATATCGGGCAAACAAGTCGGTTGTCGTTGGCGCCGGCGGATTGGCCGCCATTGGAGGGACCGGCCAAGCTGACATTGGAGACGAGGTCTTGCGGAATATCGGGTAGCGGGACGGAGGATGATGGAGAGATGGAGTCGCGCGTTGAATTGGGCGATACAAAGGAGACGGTACTGCTGTCGGAAGGCGCGAATGGGCTGACGGCGCGATGGATGGCGGCGGTGGTTGAGGCTGACGGTGATGACGCTGCGGGCGGGGCGAGGCCCTTGCCGTTGCCCAAGATGCGCCCACCTCCGAGCTTGCGCCCGGACATGTCGTATTATAAAATATGGATGGAACTGGCGCAGAGATGGGAACCCAGTCGCGGTAGGGTAGGGAGGAGGTTATATTGTCGTCGAGAAGGTGGCCATTGTTTGTTGGTCTCAGAAAAGGGAAGTTGGTCGTCGTTCCCGTTGTTGGGTCAAGGTCAAGTTCGTGCTTCGTTATTGGTTCGGGAGCGGCGGTAGAGGATAGGCGCAGCTCAAGCAGTGTCACCTCAGAGCTGCAGCCTACTGCGCCTGTCGTTCAGTGGAATCCGCTATTTTTGGGCCTGTAAATCCTACGTTGATGGGTCAGACCATGGGAGCTTGGGAACTGGTAAATCATGCTGGGGATGGTCATTCGATCGAGAAATATCTTGACAGAACTTGCGGAGCATTCGTTGAACATGCCATAACATCCGATGACAACGATGCCGATGTTGTCGGGACGGCCCTCGGTCCCAGCGATGCCGCCTCAAGATGCTTCCCGGGAACCGGGCTTCCCGTTAATGGATATCATCTTTTGTGTTAGGGGTGTACCTCTACCCCCACCAAGATGCTGCCAAGACAAAAGTACCTCTCCATCCTCCGATCCCGCCCTCCCCTCTCCACCCACCCGCAATCGCCCCTCTGTAACCACCAGGGTTCACCCTCCATCGCCCGCCAATAAATATGTCATCAGCGAAGCACGTCAGCGGCAGAATATCAGCCTTATCAGTCATACTTTCCGTCTTCCGCGCAACAATGTTTCTTTCAACAACTTGATCCTTTTTCTCTTTTTCTTCCCTTGAGGACTTACCATAACGAATTGACGAACGACACCTAACGCTGGCGCTACGATACGAAAACAACAGACACAATGACGACCGGACGAGCAGACCCAAACAACTTCCCCGAGATCCAGACGGGCGGAAGTCTGATGATCGCATGGCAGATCAAGGGCAAACGAGTGCTCCTGGTGGGTGGTGGTGAGGTACGTTTTCCTTTCTTCCTTTCCACCCTTCTCGCTGTCTCCCACTCCCCCCTCCTCCATCCCACCCATCTAACACCTCCCCCCGCCACAGGTAGCAGCAACCCGCCTAGTCCACCTCCTCTCCGCCGACGCCCTCGTAACCCTCATCGCCCCGCCCCCCCTCCACCCGGAAGTCTCCTTCCGCCTCACCCAATTCCCGAACTCCCTGACCTGGATCCCCCGCGCCTTCGAACCAACCGACCTCACCGACCACGCCAACGATTACTCTTTGATCTTGACAGCAATCGACGACCCCCTCGCCTCTTCCCAAATCTACAAACTCGCCCACCAGCTAAAAATCCCCGCCAACATCGCCGACGTCCCCTCCGAATGCGACTTCTACTTTGGCTCCGTGCACCGGGACGGGCCGTTGCAGATAATGGTCAGCACGAACGGGAAGGGTCCGCGGTTGGCGTCGACGATTCGGAAACTGATAGCCAAGGCGCTGCCCAAGAATGCGGGGAGGGCGATTGAGCAGATGGGTGAGCTGCGCAAAAAGTTAAGGGAGGTGGCACCAAAACAGGAGGAGGGGAAGAGGCGGATGGAGTGGATTAAGAAGGTTAGTGATGCTTATGGGTGGGAGGAGATGGGGGAGATGACGGGGGAGGATATGGCGAATTTGTTGGGGTGGTATCGTAGGGAGGGGGGAGAGGATGGGTTGGAGGTGCCGAGTTTGGAGGAGTTGAGGGCTTTGCGGAAGGAGAATCAGGATGGTGTGGGAGAGGTGGAGAAGAAGGTGGAGGAGTTGAAGGTGGAGGATAAAGCGTAGGAAAAGGGATGTCTACAAGGGAGCAAAGGGTTTGATAGGGCTTTTAGGTTCTGGGTAGGTAAAAAGGATTTTCAGATAGGGATAGAGGGAAATGATACCATGCGTGGGTTTTTGCTACAAGACGCTGGATGCCGTGGCTTCGGTTGCTTGCTCTTTCAATCCACATGACAATGACGAAGAGGAGGAGGAGGAGGAGGAGGAAACAACCAATCAATTCGCTATATCCCACGAAAAAAAAAAAATATATACCCGCTCGCCTTCACGGTAGCGCAAAGCATCGATCGATAGATAGACGCCAACACCCAGACCCCCCCCCCCCAACAAACGCTCAACGACAACGACTGAACGTCTTCATCTTCATATCCCTCCTAGAGGTTCCTTTCAATACCCGAATCCATGTTCATCGTCGTTCGTCGCCCATATAAACTTTTCCTGCCCAATCTTCAGCCTGCCCTGGTCTTGACCACAAAATCTGATTTCTCAAACGTCTCGTCTCGAGCAATCTGACTGAGCCAGTTGTGTTGTGAAGCAAACAAAGCTGAATAACATTTTTTTGTCTGTCAGGACGTATTCGTTCGTTCGTTCGGGTAGGTAAGGTGGGTAGGTAGGTTAGGTAGGGTATCAAAAAAGGTAGGTAGGTGCAACAACTGGTTTCCTCCATTTCCATTTTGATGCAGTAAGAAGAATGAGTCCCCTGTCGTTTTTGTCAGAATATAGATTGGCCGATTGAGCTACTACTCCGACCAGTTCGGAGCTCCAATTTTGCTGGTATGGCGTAGTGGCGCCAATCCAACAGTTTTTTAAAGAAATTCTTCTGAGCCTGGTGAGCCTGAGCTATGTGGCCAGCACGAGCTGGCCTGAGCAGCTAGCTTGAGCGGTGCCTTACTGAAGCTGATAAGAGCGAGTTGGAGGCTGCTGCGGCGGCACAAAGACAGACTGACTGACTGACAGATCATGGCGCGCACTTCAAGTTGTGTTCTCAGAGGCGGGGTCCAGCGTAGGTGTAGGGAGGGGTTGATGCTGCCGATTTTGGGGTTGGAGTCTTGGAGAGGAGTGGTCCTCCTGCACCAAACCACCACCAAAAGTATCCAGATCCGAATCCGTGTTGTTGTCGTCGTCGTCATCATCATCGTTGTCCATATCTTGAGCAACCTCAGTTAGGTGGTGTGCAACCTGCACTAGAAGGCCGTTAGGCCCAGCCAGGGCGTCAAGAGCCTCAAAATGGGCAAAGTAGAGGTAGCTGGCAGCTTGAGCTTGGACTTGGACTTGAACAGCCTCAGCCAGGCGAGCCACGGTGTGGGAAGCCTGAGTCAGGTTGCGGGCAGCCTGATCCAGGAACTGAGCAGCCCCAGCTAGGTCAGCCTGGTTGTTGTGACAGTGCGGACATGGGTGAGTCTGAGTCTGAGTCTGAGTCTGAGTCTGAGTCTGAGTTTGAGTCTGAGTCTGAGTCTGAGTCTGAGTCTGAGCCAGAGCCAGAGTCTGACCCTGAGGCTGAGGCTGAGGCTGAGCCGGTTGACGTCTTTGCTGAATGGCCATTGCTTCTTGGAGTCTTTTGATCTTTGATGATCTGGACAAAATTTTTCTTCACGATGTTGGCGTTTTTATACCTACCTATCCTTGCTGACTGTCTTCGTAGCGGGAAATTTCTCGGGTAGCAGCTTGACGACTTGACACGTACGACTATACCTCACGCTGGACATGCGTGTGAAAATGCAGGAGCCTGTCGGCAGAATTTCCTCGGTACTAATGACACCATGCGTGAGGACAGTTTACCCAGTCGACTATAATGCTCAGCCTATTCTCCGCATAAACCGGGTGATGACACAGCATATGAGACTCAAATTCTTAATGGTTGCCGAATACGATGGGCGGGTTGCACACTGGACACGTTTCGTTGCTGCTGGGTTGGTTCCAGGTACCACCAGCAGCATCCTGTCCAGAACCTCCTCTTAGCCACCACCTCCTGGAACAGCATGTGAACAGAACATGGGTTTTGCTACAAGCCGCTGGATGCCGTAGCTTTGGTTGCTCTTCAATCTACATGACAATGACGGAGAGGAGGAGGAAACAACAATCAATTCGCTATATCCACGAAAAAATACCCGCTCGCCTTCACGGTGGCGCAAAGTAGACGCCAACACCCAGTTCCCCCAAACGCTCAACGACACGACGGAACGTCTTCATCTTCATTCCCTAGAGGTCCTTCCGATACCCGAATCCATGTCATCGTCCGCGGCGTGCGCATCGTCTGCATCATCAGAGATACCCCTTTCCGACTCTCCATCATTGTTCGCTTGCTCAACTACCCCGCACTTCCTCGCCAATTCCACCGTGAAATCGGCCCTCCTGTGTTTATATCGTACATGGATAGCTAGGAGTGTTGGGCTCTGCTTGAAGGGGCAATTGCGTTCTGGGCACTTGTATATCGGACCATGTTGGTCTTTATGATAATCAGTAAAATAACCTGTTGTTCCCTCCCAATCGCAACCAGCGAAAGTGCACTTCATTTTTCCCGTGTGAAAGTGTCTCCCATGACTATAAATCGCATCCTTGTTGGGTCCCACATACTCGCAAGCAGCCTCGGTGCACTCGACGAACTTGTGCACATCTTTCAGATGGAGGTTCACGTCACCCTTTGATCCTGCAAACGAACACTCTTTAACCCAACACTTTTTGATGTGATTCCCTGGTTTGAAGTTAGCCTAAGTTTGAATGCCTAGCTTTCTAATGGTAGTCATGCTTACCGCGTACGGCGTCATCAACCTGGTCCTTCTTCTGGTCCTTCTTCTTCACTTCAGGCCTAATTTGCTTTGCAATAGGTCCTCGCTGCGGAGATGTTGCCTTATGAGATGGTAAGGAGGAGAAGGAGGAGGACGAGGTCACCGATTTTGAGTTGAGAGGAAGATGCTTGTCCCGCTCATTGTCGCCATGATCTTGGCCAATGCAGTGCTCATCATCGTCTACATCCACATCATCGCCATCATCTGCATCCTCCTCAGGATAATCGATGCCTTCCTGTTCATTGTCATCATCGTCATCGTTCGCATCTCCTGCACCTCCCCTCAGCGCCGCCGAAATCCGCCAATCCTCGTCATCACACTTCCATTCCCTGAAGTAGCCCGGGCGCTTCTAATGCACTACGCCCTCCACGCCACCCAAGAACCTTCTGACCCTCGCAATCTCCAACTCGGGCTTTTCACTTTCAACCGCCCTCGTCAGCGTATCCAGCAGGGCCTCAACTTCGATCTCGGGCCTCCTGGTGCAAAGGCTTACCAATCGCCGGTACTTCAGCTCTTTCTCCTTGCTTTGTGCCTGCAACGCCGCCACCGCCTGTCGCGTTTTGCTCGATCTCGCCCGTAGTGCCTTGATTCTAGCCCTTAGCACTGCCGCGCTCGGCAGACTAGGTCGGCTGTCTGGGTCCAATCCCTTGGGTGACTGCGTCTTGACAATTTCCAACGCCGACTCGAGTTCCATTTCCCAGGCGTTGGCCGAAGCGACGTCCAGCCGGCCGTGACGCTGTTCGAGTTCGATGAGAATCTGTTCTTCTTCCTCAGATGCGCGATTGAAGTTGACAATCTTCTGCTTGGCCAGTTGCTGGGCTTTGAGCTTTTCTTGCAGGGACTCGAGGGTGCGGCGGGCGTCGCCGACTTGCGAGGAAGTGATGCGGAGTTGGGAGTGGAGGGTGTCGATCGACTCTTGTTTCTTTTTGAGCTCATTTTGAAAGATAGAAGTGGATTCGCCAATGAGGTGAGTGATGGCTGGCTTTGCGTTAGCAAATGGGCAAGAATAAGAGAAGGAAAAAAAAGAAAAAAACTTACAGTTGACAACCTCGTCACTGGTCTCGCGGCTCTTATGGCCACTGCCAGCCGTAGCCCCATTCTTTTCTCCGGGTTGATCACCGTTGGTTTCGGCGTCGGCAATACCGATTCCAAAATCCAGCGGCTTCAAATTGGCTCGGTTGGGAATTGTGGGATCAGCGCCCACCTCCAGAAGCTGGGAAATGATGCTGCGGTTCCCGACGCGTGCAGCAACGTTGAGCGCCGTATCGCCACTGTTATCCTGAGCGTTGACGATCTCGCTCATGAACCGGCCAATGCCCATTCGACGTCCTTTCCTATCGCCGACGCCGTTCTCTTGGCTGCTTGGAGCACTGCCTTGCCGGACCACCCATTCCAGAAGGCTCTCGAGGTAGTATCGACTAGCATAATGACGGCCTTTGACCGCACTGGTGACGGCTATGTGATGCAAAACGGTGCGGCCCTTGTCGTCTGTCACGTCAAGAGTGCAACCAAGGAGATCGAGAAGCTCGGGGAAAGTGTTGTTCTCCATGGAGTTGGTGACGGTGCAGGCACGCATAAGGGCAGTCTCTCCACAAGCATTTACGCGCCAGGGGTTTGCTCCTGCATTGATGAGTGCTCGCAGAAGCGGCATGCGAGAGAGCGTAGCAGCCCAATGAAGGGCCGTGTGACTCTGGGTGTCGATGGGGGAGTCCAGCTCCTGGGGAGGCACATTGCAAAGTGCAGCCTGTATCGCCTCGTCGGGGCCGTTGGCATCCATAAAGAGGCCCATCAGCATGCCCCGCTTGGCTTCTGCATCGGCGTTATTGTCATAGGGCAACGGCCGCAATGGGCCAAGGGCATACGAGGCCTCGCCATCATTGGCAGTAACCTGTTCGTAGATGAATGAGTTGTTGGGCTCGGTGGGAGAGCCAGGGTCTCCGTTACCAACATTTCCAGCATTGTATGGGTCGAGAGGCTGGTAACCCGGAGTTTGGCCGCCGAAGCTCCTAGCTGGGGTGAGAACTCTTTGCCGCTTCCTAGGGGGTTGTTCGAGACCGTCACCAGTTAGGGGCTGCGTATTTTGAGAACCGAAGCCTGAGTCAGCGTTCTGTGTCTGTGTTGCGTATTCGGTTGAAACAAGACTTTGCTGGGAGTTGGGGAAATCGGCCACGTCCTGCATCGAGGACTGGCGGTTGAAGCTGGGGGCCCTGCTGGGACCGCTGCGATTTCTAGGCGCAGGGGAATCGAAGCGAGCTTTGCTGATGGCAGCCACTGCGGTTGATGCCGTGGAGGAGATGTTCTTGAAGAAAGTGCCGGTGGAGCCAATACCGCGATTCTCTTGTGAGCTGGCGTTGTACATCCGTTTCCTCTGTGCGGCCATGGCCTGTTCCTTGGTAGGGGTGTCAACGTTTCCTGTCTCGCCTTCCTGTCCCCTGTTATGCGTCAAGAGTTTAGACAGTAGCTCCTCAACGCCATATTGGCGACAGACTTCGAGGCCTCGTTCGAATGGGATCCAGGTTCCTTGATATTTTCCGTAACCGCCCTGGACCTTTTCATGTTCGCCAATCTGGATTTCCTTTTCAAGGATCTTGGTACGTCGTCCCTTGTCGATGTTTGCGACCTTGAGGATCTGTGTGGCATTGACCCAGCCGTCTTTTTGTCGGCGCATGACGGCGACATTGTTGACCTCCATTTCGTAGACGCCGACTCCTGAGTACGTGGCCTGTAACTGTTAGTCGGGGCACAGTGAAGCGAGTGAGGAGAAGGGGGGGAGAGGCTCACGGAATAGATGGTAGGTACGGCATGATCGTTGTGTAGCCGGTTGGGCGGATCGGTGTACTGTCTGTAGACTGACTGGGAGGACTGGCTCATGGAGAAGGACTGCTGGGAAGACGGCTGCGACTGCTGCGAGGCGCCGCCGAGTTGTGGTGGCTGCATCTTGACTGGGGCAAGTATGGGGTATAGTGATCGTCGTCGTGGCTAATATCCCACAGTAGTAAAGATTGTATGTATCACTGATGAACAAGTGGTGTTTGGTAGAGCTGTTGGTTGGCGTCGGTGTGCGGAGTGGTACAAGTTTGATCGTCCAACCGGGGGAGCACAACGTCTTTATGGAGGAGACTGGAGAGGCGGGCCAAGTCGGGGAAGCGGCGAGCAGAGCTGGGGACGTGAGTAGGTAGCGACAGATAGTGACTGCCGTGTTTGTGGTGGAATATGGGACCGCAGTTGGTGCTGTCGCAGAATCCCTCTTGCCTTCCGAAAGTAGACTCTACTTTAGCTTGCAGCTGCCGGCGAGAACGGTGGAAGGGTCGGCGACGAAGGCCCAATCGGGGAATATGGACAGTTCGGCAGGATCTGATGTCGTCGACAACGTAGAACTGGGGATAGTAGTAGGCAGTTCCTTCAAGAGCACCGCGTCGCAAAGAGGTACGCGATTGTCGCAATGACGTTTCTTTGTTCGCGAAATCAATTAAAGGTCGACGTGTTGGTTTCGTGTTGTTGCGCGAAAAGTCGTGTCTGTGAGTGAAAGATTGCCTGTGCGGTGAGCGATACACGAAAGAGACAGGCGCCAGGTCACGGGTGCATGTATTGACAGTTTAATACGAAGACTGTCACAAACTTGTGGCTACGATACATGAACAACCTACCTACGAACCGTTCAACGCAGGTATTGGAGAATGACTGAAAGACAATGTATGTGGGCCATTTAAGATCTTGTGTCATTGCTTTTCTTTTTGTTAGTTGTCTTCGTTGACGGCGCACAGGTTGTCATGTTGCATATGAACCAGAAGCAAGCCTCTTGCCTCCGAAAGCTGTAAGATACTCTATGTACACTGTAAATTACACCCACTCTGTAACGAAACTGTTAAGCCACCGCAAGTCGCAAACCCACCCCATCGTCATTGTGTCGCGCAAAGATAAGGATTTAGGTAGTTGCTTATCGCACCTTCAATTACCAATGCCACTTCCACTTCCATCTAAACTTTGAGGACATCGACAACTTCCCAAACAATTTACGACAACACCCAGCTTCCACTTCTACAATCAATTCCAACATCAACCTTCCGCTCTCGAGATCCCACTCTCCGAAACCACAAACCGCAGCTTCACGCGCGGCCATGTCCCGCCCACCACCCCTCCCCCACCCAACAACGACCCTCCACCTCTACCGGCACCTCCTCCGCGAATCCTCCTACCTCCCCGTTCTCATCCGCCCCTTCTTCGACGAGCGCATCACCACGCGCTTCCGCGCCCACCGCTCCGACCCCTCTCCCTCATCCTGTCCACAAACCGCCAGCCGTCTGAAGCGCGCCCACCACGACCTGCGCTACCTGCGCGCCGCCAACGCCGGCGACCTCCCGCGCATGCGGCGCATTTTGCTCCTCGCATTCGGCCGAACGGGCGCCAAGCGCCGCCAGCTTCTTTCCGAGTTACTAGAGCCCGATACCCCGACCAGCGACGAGGAGCTACAGAAGTACATCAACAAGGCACGGGCGATAGTTAAAGAGGGGCGCAAACCGGATTGGTTGGATAATTGGGACACGGAAAAACTCAAAGCGTTTGTGCGCTCGCAAACGGGCGGCGCGCCGCCGATTGTCAACCGGCCGAAGCCGGAGATTACGAATCACCAACTGGCGCCTGAGCGATATGTGCCCAAGGAAGATATTTGGGGTGGCCCGTTGAATGAGAAGGTTCAGAGGACGAAGCTGAAGAAGACGTATAAGCAGGTGGCGGATAAGGTGTTGCCGCCGGTGCCGAGGGAGGAGTGGGAATTGCTACGGGATTTGGTGAATAAGAAGGAGGAGTGGGAGGTGCCTAAGAGGAGGACGGTTGGGAGGACGATTTGGGCCAAGGATCAGAAGGATGAGGCCCTGGACTGGAACTGGCAGAGATATGCTACCCAGCCCATTTGGTTGGTGGATAGGCAAAAGAGCAGGAGGAATATGTTGCTGAGCGGGCAGGTGGAGGAGGATCTACCGATGGGCGAGCAGCAGCCGATTAATTGCCATCGGTATACGCCGAGGCTGTGGAGGAGGACTTTGGAGCAGGTGTGGCGGATGACGGCAGTTATGGAGAGGAAAAAGGATGGGAAGGGGTGGGAGATAGAATGGGGACAGAAGAAGTATGAACCGCCGGTGGCACCATCGGCGGATCTAGAGTTTTTCGCGGGCGCACCGGTAAGAACGGAGCCTAAGAAGAAGAAGGGAAAGCAGTGATCACAATCTGTGGTCCGTTGTTTTGGATGGAATATGGATGGATAGAAAGGGACTCCGCTCAACTCGTACAAAATGATACCCGAGCACACTCATGGTCACAAGCACCACACCATAAACCTCGTAACCAGGCACCAGCCTGCCCTTCCTGAACCGTGGGTATAACTTTCATTTTCATTTCATTTTAGACATCCCAGCCTCAACATCTAATCCAGCAACTTCGCCAACTTAGGCAACCCCTCCCCATCAACCCTCATACCCACCCACTCACTCATCATCTGCGCGCCAATCGCCTCGCTCTCGTAAAACTTGATACTCGGCTCATTCCACTTCAACACGTTCCACTCCAGCCTACCACCTTGCATAGCCTCCACCTCCTTCGCCAGCTCCACCAACAGTCTCTTTCCATACCCCTTCTTCCTTTCACTCTGCTTGACATACAGATCCTCCAGGAAGATACCCGGTCGCGCCCGCCACGTGGAGTAGTTGTAGAAGTAAAGCGCCATGCCGACGACGACTCCAGAATCGGGGGTGGTCAGCACCAAACAGCGGGCGGGCTTGGAGGGCGAGACGGGTTCGGTGATGGGGAGACCGTCGGGCCCGGGGGAGACGATGGAGGGGTCGGAGGGGGCGAAGGCGATGGTGGCGGCGAGGGTGGACTCGGTGGCTTCGACGCTGGAGAGGGCGTGTTCGTAGTCGGCTAGTTCGCGGATGAGGCCGAGGATGGCGGGGACGTCTGCTCATGCAGTAAGCAGGTATTATTAGCTAAGTTGTGGTTTGGGGCAAGAGGACGGGAGGAAGGAGAGAGGAGAGAGAGGAGAGAGACGAACCCTCGCGCCTGGCGTGGCGGACAACAGGAGCAGTGGAAGCCATTGTGGTTGTTTGGTTTGGTTTTACCGATGTGTTGTGATGTTTCGGATCCGGAAGACGGGACGGCACAGAAATAAATGATGGAACTGAAGACAAGAAGCACTCGCTGCAAGCCAAGAAGCCGGAAATGTGTCTTGGACGGAGGGGACCCGACGGAAGCGTTCTTAGAAAAAAGTTAATCCTTTCGGTTGAGGATAAAATAATAGAAAGTGACTCATTGAATAAAGATCCGGTGCCGTGGTGACTCGAAAAAGTGGAACTCCCACCTCCGGGCTGGGCTCCAGCTGTGACACCTCCGAACTCCACTCCGCGCCCTTCCGGCGACCTAACCTGGAAATCGGCGGTGATGACAGCGACGGGCGGGGATTGGAGCTTTGGTGGGGGTCTTGGAGAATGGCGGGGTTGATGGGTCGCCTCGGCTTCGGGGTGTGTCAGTGCGTCACAGGCACTGCCCCTGGAGGCTCTGGAGCTGTCCGAGCTGAAGAATCAAGAAGCCCCTGGCGAACCCTGGAATCAGCCCCTGGACATCTTGGAGAACCCCCATGACCACCGCCTGTAGATCCTGGTGTTTACATTCCCCTGGCTGACTTCCACTTGGGGAGCATCACCCGTTTGACTGCTACTGGTTTAAGGCGTGATGAGTCGATGTTTTACACGTTTGGGTTCTATGATCCCGTGATCAATGTTTTCATCAATGGAGTTTGAGATAGTAGAGACTGAAGGTAGGTGATGTTATCCGGTGATGTTATCTCCCATGACAACGGATCTCCACCTCAGCTCACAACTCACCTCAGCCCACGGTGTCTCCCGTCTAACATGCCCCCTATTCCCCTATCAACATCAACACGTTGTGTTTTAGCTGAGACTCGTATCGGGGATGGAAACGCAATAAACTCCGACGGGTTCTCACCAATCGAGACCATCCACGCCTCCATGCACACCGACGTACGACATCATAGCCCCTCTTGGGCGGCAGCATGTTTGGATCTGTTATCGCTTGTTATCGTAGCTTGGTGAGCTTGGTTGGTCTGTGAGGTGATCATCAGGGACCTTCCCTCCACAGGACGTCAAAGAGACGGCATGCTTCCCGTTCATTGGCACCCATTGGCAAACAATGACTCCCAACGTGTTTCAGTCTGGTCGGCATCACGGCGTTGTACAACGGGAACAAAGGAGGCGGAGTTCTTTGGTGTCTTGGTATTTGGGCCTCACCTTGTCCGCCATTTGTAGCTAGAGAAGTTGGAGAAGATAACAGGGGGCCAACCGGAAGAATGGTTCCATCACTTTCGTTATTCGTTCACCGCACTGCCCACCGCGTTGATCTTGCTTACATCCCATGCCAGGTATACATATCTGGCGGCATCCGTAGGTAGTAGTATATATGACGGGGACTATTCCCCGCCAAGTTGACCTGATAGATCTCCTGATTTTCTTGTTCCTGGATTGCTTGGCCTTTTCTTGATAAACAACCGCCACCACATCATCTACATCATATGACAACAACAACAACAACAACAAAGAACATCACCACCTTTAACCAAACTTCCACCTTACACCATCTTCCATTTTCTACTCACGATAATCTTACCATAATCATAATCGATATTCACACACAAACACAATGGGTTCTCACGCACCTGTACCACCGCCCTCCGCCGAACCAACAGTAACCTACTCGTCCGGCCGTCTAGACTCCAACTCCAACTCCGCAGAATCACCAGTGGGGCCACCCGACTTCCGACTACTCCACTTCAATGACGTCTACCATCTCGACGCATCCTCAGCCGAACCCGTCGGCGGCATCTCGCGCTTCATGACCGCCGTCAACGAGTATCGCAACGATGAGCGATACCAAGGGCAAGGGAAGCCGGAGCTGGTGACGCTATTCTCGGGGGATGTGTTCAATCCGAGTTTGGAGAGTTCGGTTACCAAAGGCAGCCACATGGTTCCGATTCTGAACAAGATTGGGACGCAGTGCGCTTGTGTTGGTGTAGGTCTTCCATTTTCCCAGTTCCTGTCCCTACCTTGCAATGCGAATACTAACCCATCGCGAAAACAGAACCACGATCTCGACTTTGGCGTCCTGCAATTCCAACACCTAACCTCCAAATGCGCCTTCCCCTGGCTTCTCGCCAACGTCCTCGACCCCGCGCTGGGCGAAAACGTGCCCATCGGCAACGCCGGCCGCACACACATGATCACGACCTCCAACGGCCTGAAAATCGGCCTGCTAGGCTTGGGAGAGCGCGAATGGCTAGAAACCATCAACGCCTTGCCTCCAAACCTCATCTACCGCTCCGCGACCGAAGTAGCAAAAGAGCTGGTCCCACAACTACGAGCGCAAGGAGCGGATCTCATTGTCGCGCTGACGCACATGCGCGAACCGAACGATCACAAGCTGGCGAGGCAGATGGAAGGGGAGATTGATATCATTTTGGGCGGACACGATCACTTTTATGCGCACAGCCTGATCAACGGGACGCATGTGCTAAGGTCAGGGTCGGATTTCAAGAATCTTTCGTACTTGGAGGTTCGCCGACCTGCTTCACCACCGCAACCAGGGCAGCCGAAGTGGGATGTGGATATTTGGAGGAGGGACATTTACAGCAGCATCCCCCGCGATCCGGCGACGGATCAGTTGGTGCATAAACTTACTTCGAAGCTGAAGAAATCGCTCGAGAAACCGATCGGCTTCAGCGCTGCCCCCCTCGACGCGCGGTTCACGACGGTACGCCTTCGCGAAAGCAACATTGGAAACTTCGTCTGCGACATCATGCGCCTGCACTACCACGCCGACATCGCCATCATGGCCGCCGGCACGATACGTGGCGATCAGATCTACCCACCCGGTCCGATCCGCGTCAAGGACGTCACCGACTGCTTTCCCTTTGAGGACCCGGTAGTAGTCATCAAAGTAAAAGGACAAGCAGTCTGGGAAGCGCTCGAAAACGGCGTCTCGCTCTACCCTGCTCTCGAAGGCCGGTTTCCCCAGGTATCCAACATCAAATTCATTTTCAACCCTTCCCTCCCATCAGGGCAGCGAGTCACAAACGTGGAAGTCGGCGGCGAACCAATCGACCTGGAAAAGACCTACACAATGTCAACAAGAGGTTACATGGCCCGCGGCAAAGACGGGTACACCTCCCTCCTCGTCAAGTCCGAAGGCGGCGAATGCGAGGAGGTCGTGTCCGAAGAGAACGGCATTCTCATCTCCATGATGTTGCGGCAGTACTTCATGGCGCTCAAAGCCCTGGATAAATGGGCATTCTGGGGCGCTGAAGAAGATCGACACTGGGGCACTGTCGTGAAGGGAGTCGATGAGGGAAGGGAACCCCCCTCTTCTAAATCCCTTACATCAACCCTGGAACCCAAAACGGGAGATGGGTGCGACAAAGAAACTTGCGTCATTGACGCCGAAGCGAAGAAGGATGAACAAGAAGAACCAACGCCGGCTGGCCAAGACGGCGCCGGCTCCTCCAAGCCCCTTTCGAATTGGACATTCTGGACCCCCGCTAAGTTACGCGAGCGGAGAGCGACGGTGAAACCACTGAAGGAGTCGCAGACGGCTGTAGGGGATACCAGCGCTTCTGGCTCTAGTGATAGCGAGAGCGGAAGCAGTCGGCCCAGTTCGAGGGTTAGGGGCAAAGCGGAAGATGTCAGGCAGATTGATCGCGAACTGAGGATCATGAGGCGGGTGGCGAGGAAGTGGTGTCGGTTGGCGGGGGTGCAGAGTAAGGCGTGTGATTGTTTGGATGAGGGAGAGTTTGATGTGCCGTGGACGAAGGCGGTGGCGCCGAGGGTGGAGGGGAGAATTGTTGAGGTTGGGGCTTGATTTTTTGGGTTCTTTGGATGTGGTGTTGAGAAAGAATGGGGGGGGGGGGGAGGCGAGAAAGAGAGGAGATGATGATGCTATACCCAATGCTGCGAGTCTTGCTTTTTCGTTCAAGAATACCTACCTCTAAATGAGAACAACGGAATAATAACACGGTTGAACCCAACTTGAACCGAACCCACGTGGCATTTTTTGACAGACGTGACAGCTCCGCCGCTCGGTTCCGTAGACGTGGAAGTTTGTTGTGTCCCACCATCATTCCTTTCCTGTATGTAGAGGCATGGACCTTGGTGTATTTATTCCAGACTGCGGGGCTACAACCCTCTCCTGGATTCTTCTTCCTGGCAAGCATCCAATTCAGCGAATCTGTGGCAGTCGTGACCGACCATACTACCAGAATCATGTATTTATTCTAGACTTTTGGGGTTTTCTCCCTCTTCCACTTTTCAACCTCCCATCAACCGCAATTTCCCATTCTTGCTTGGTTCGCCTTACTTTGTTTTTGCAATCCCAACAATGCTTCGCCTTGTTGTTTTACTAGACGTCGAAGAAGCCAAGAGGCTTGACGGAGTCCATCATCTTGTTTAAATCGGCCCACCCCGGGATTGTGACACCTCTCCTCCCCCGGCTTTCTCTACACCCTCTTTGCTCTCTCTTCACACACCCTCCACACCCTCTGCCGACTCCCGTCTTCTCACCCTCCATCTTGTCAAAAGTTGTCATATAATTGACCTTCCCCCATCCAGCCAACCAACCGGCAACCAACCCGATGACGGACAACCTGCCAAGTTCAGCAGAACCCGCAGAAGTTTCGTTCCAAGATTCCTTGTCTTCCATGCAGCGTTCAGGAACCATCACAGCGGGATGGATCCGAGAGGAGCTGTACCTGCAGGAGAACAATTCTGCGCACCCTCCATCTTCTTCGTGACCCACCAAGGTTAGAGGTATGCATCTCAAGTTTCACACCGAGACAACTGCACAGACGAGACACCACGAAACTCACCTGCGTCGATAGATCGGTTCCCGACACCGGGATATCACTTGGGATTTATGCATCGCAACCATCCGGCATCGCATATCGACGGTCTCTTTCGGGTTAAAGTTAGGAAGTCATTCGATTTCTCACTTCACCAAGAAAGGCAGTGCTCTCGGCCGTGACATCTTGGGACATCTTAGGCTTCTCGGCCCCTCGTGATGACGATGGGCGATGGGCGATGTGACGCCATCACGCTGGGCGCAATTTCCGATGGTGCGGGTGTGCCTGGCGTTGGCGTCTCCGCGGCGTCGTTGGTGTGCATTTGACGCTTTGACAGTGGTGTGTGGCCTGGAACGTCTGGGCGGTTTTGGTGCTTGTTAGCATTTTCTAGGCGGCGCTGGGCATTGAAGCCATCGCCGAAGCGATTTGAACTATTGGTGTTGAGGTTGGCTATGTTCGTGAAGAGACTTCCACTTCCACTTCATCAAGGCTCAGCGGACCGAAGACAGCATCAGTCGATCACCACCACGACCTCCAACCCGACAAAGCGTGATGTTCGCATTCAATTATTGATTCTTTCGAGGCGAGGAAAAGACTTCCGAAAATCCTCAGCTGAAAACATTTTGGTTACGTATCTGCGTACCTAGCCCTACGCAGACACTGCAGACTCACTCAACTCATCCCCGTCGCAGCTCTTTGACTGGAAGACGCTATTCCCAAACAAGGCACCATCTCGCGCTGCCAGTGACTCCTCGAGCTCGGCGCGTTACTTGGCGTTCCCCATGGCTCCATTATGTCTCCGACCCTTGGACTCACCATCCCTGTTCTCGCGTGGTCTCTTTTCGTTCTTTCTTTTTTTCATTTTCCCCTGGTTCCTGGTTGATCGCTGCAGTGATTGACAGCTCGCTTTTGTTCATCACAGTGACAGTTGGAACAAGCAGTGAATCGGACAGAAATCATTGCTCGGCCTCACTGTCTCAGCCACTCCACATGGCAAAAGACGCCGCTGACGATGGGTTTGACGGCGGCGGAGCGAGAGCCTCGAAGAGCCTAGAGGTCTGGAGCTTGATGTTGACGGCGCTGGAAACTAGCGAGTCTTGGGCTATGTAGCTTCGGACTGCTTGGAACAAAGATGGAAGCGAAGTTGGTTTTCACGGATACGGGCCGATAAAGACTTGCCCGATCAATCGACCGTCAATCGATAGACCAGATGGGATGAACCACTGCAGCGTTCATCACTTTCTCCTGACCCACTGTCAAAGCACAACCGGCCTAGAACTCGTCGGTCGTATGCGGGGTGGACATCCCGGTCTCCTCTTGGTGGGCTTCCCCGTTTCGGAGCTCGATTTCCCTTCTCACCACTAGCACCGGGCTCGGCCCCAATGCCGTGCAGGGGGAACTTCCACGCTGGGATAGGGTCAAGAAGAACTGAAGAAGATGAGAACGAGGGTGGGTATATGTGGTCTGGGGGGTGCCCTTACAGATCGCCTTTTATCTGCGTTTCCCCCCTTCCCTTGCTTGCACATGGCCTGCCTGCAACCTCTTCTTGTCGATCTTTTTAAACTTACAGAAGGGTTCGCTGCGACTGTTGCAGTACTAAATTACAGGGAGTCTAGCACTGCTACTCGGAAGGATAAAGAGTAGGACATACGGCTGCTGGGCTGTTGAAGGTTGTCGATCCTTTGGAACATTTACACCACGACCTACGATCTGCGATTACATCAGAAGGAAAATCGATGCTGGCGTCAAGAAAGTAGACGGGCGACGGATCCTGTCATTCGATCGTTGAGAACAACAAATACCGACGAGAAGGAACTACGAAGGAGACAAGAAAGGGAAATATCAGGAATATCGAACCAGACCACCAACACAACACAAACAGACACACACACACACACACACATCCACCAAAATGAGAATCCCACCAGCAGAAGTACGGGCCCAATGGCCAGAACCAAACTACGACAATCCCCAAAGGCGAGGACCCGGTCTCATCATCGTCGAACTCGTCATGCTTCCGCTATCTCTCATGTTCGTCGCCCTCCGTCTCTACGTCCGCGCTCGACTGCTACGCAAAACGGGATGGGATGACTGGTTCATGATCATCGCCACGGTACGTCTTCTTCCACTCTCACCAAACAACCTTTCCAAACCACGGCAGCACAGCTAACAGCATCCATCCAGATCTTCGGCACAGCCGTCTCCGTCGGCGTCATCCTCGCCTCCACCACCTTCGGCTGGGACAAACACATCTACGACCTAACCCTCACCCAACTCTCGCAGGGGCGCCAGATCTCCATGGCCATCCAAGCCGTCTTTATCTTCTCCTCCTGTCTCGCCAAAGTCTCCATCCTGATCTCTTACCTCGCCCTCGCGCCCCTGGATTCCTGGTTCCGCCGCCTGACGAAATACGCAATGGTCTTCATCGTCGCCATGAACGTCGGCTCTTTTATTTTACTCTTCACACAATGCACCCCCGTGGCCTCGTACTGGGACATTTTGAAGTCCGAAACCGACTGCATCCCCGAGGGAGCTCCGCTCATGACGCACGCCATCGTCACGGCGCTAGCGGATTTCATCGTCTGGGTTTTGCCCCTGCCAACCTTCTACAAAGCACACATCCCCTTCCATCAGCGCGTGATCCTCGTCGTTTTGTTCTCTTTCGGTCTGTTTGTCGTTTTTGCGGCTTGCATCAGGATGTACTGGGTCCATTACGTCGTCTGGAAGACGTGGGATCCCACGTGGGAGGGCATCCAGCTGTGGGCGTGGACGGCGGTGGAGATCCATTTGGGGATCATGTGCGGGTGTGTGCCTTACTTCAAAAGTCTGTTTAGGTTTTGGAAGGGGAAGACTTTGATGGGGAGTAAGAAGGGGAGTTCACAAAGTTGGTCAGGGAGTAGAAGGGACCGTGCGGGTGGAAGTAAGATTGGCCAGCAGCAAAACTCGAGGGTTGAGGTTGGGGTTAGGAAGTGTGTTAGTTTTAGGAGTGAGAGGAGTGAGGAGCCGTTGAGTCCGACGATGGGGACTACGTGTACTGTGGATGGCGTGGAGGAGATGGAGTTGCAGGAGAAGAGGATGAATGCGTTTACTGTGACGAGGGATGTGGAGGATCAGAGGGGACATAAGGGGGAGTGGGGGTTTGAGTTTGATGGGGCGAGGGGTATGCATAGTAAGAGTTTGTCGGGGGGGAGTACGTTTGGGAATAGGGTCGAGATTCGGCCGGGGAGGTGATGATGATCACAAGAAAGATGGGATGAGCGTATGCGTGATGTTTTATGTCGATCGTTTCTAATTTACTTTGTCAACGTCCATATGCTCGTTCAACTGTGAGCTGTGAATCTGATTGTTCGTGAAGATGGCGTGGCGGTGGTTGTTGACGATGGCCAGACTGGAAAGAGGCCGGGAGATGAGGAGATATCCGCGGGAGTGTGCCTAACTGTCGTCCCCTTCATCCGTTCTTGATGGTTAAATCCTTCCAAAGTAATTGCCTAGAGGTATGAATACGGGGAAGCAATTCCGGAAACCGAAGGAGGGGCATCTGTCTTTTGGTGGTTGTTGTTGACGATGTCGGGAGGAAGAGGGGACTGGCACAGAAGAGGGCGCGAGACACTAACGTAACCCGAACCCTGGATCTCCTATTGAACCCACTGTAACCACAGCACGCTTTAGCGCATCCCCCGCTGCATGACGCGAGCGCACTGATAACACCGATAAGGCTTCTTCCCTATGGCAACATTGTTGACTTCCCGTCGCCTTTTCCTCAGCATCAACACTCGACCACATTGCAACCCATTGAACACCCGTGCCGACAGTTTCGTAGCATCCTAGCGCGCTACCCAAGCTCATTCACCATAATCACCCTCCGAACGAACCAGCCTTTGCGAATCGGACTGTCGCCAGCGCGTCGCATCCCGCAACACCCCCCCAATCTCTAGCTCCAGCCTCGTCTACTCAAGCGATCCCACGAGCGCTCCGTGAGGACATTACATTCAAGATGCCACCACGAGGCCGCAAACGCCAACGGGTCGAATCCGAACCCGAACCCGAACCGCGACAGTCATCCACCTCCCCCGACCGATCTTCTCCAGAAGTCCTCGAGCAAGAAGAATCGCGACCACCATTCTACAATACGACCTTCTCGACGCACCGTGTCTCGCCTCTTTACGTCGGAAAGCAAGCGCTCAACCGCGAACGATTACAGACCCTTTCACAACGACTACGCGAGATACTAGTTGGAGATGTTGTCCGTGGCGTCGAGGTCGGACTGGGGAGGGCAGATGGAGAGGACGGCGTGATGGGAAGAGCTGGGTCGTTGGAGTTCGTCGACATACGATGGGTTAGCGTGGGAACCGTGTTGGATATCACCGGTTCTGAACCAAACGACAGCCAAGACGAGGACGAAGATACCACGCGAACAGACCTAGATTGGCCAGCCCTAGTCGAACAACTACAAGACAAGAAAGCCCTCCACATCCTCCTTCGTTACGAAACCGCCGAATGCACCGCCCTCATGCTCCCTTCCTCCTCCGAAGACGACGAACCACAACCCAACCCCTCAGCAAGCCAATTCGCCATCTCCAACTCCCAACCAACCGACCCTCCCAACCCCGCCCACTTCCTCCACCTCCCTCTCCTTCTCCTCCGAATGCCTGCCCCTCTCAAGACCGTCATCGCCGACTTCCTCTCCACAACCTTCGACTGCCGCGTCAGCTCTCTCCGTCTCGGCACCCGAAGCCTCGTACAGTCATGGGAATCATGGATTCGGACAGCCGGGTTACCGGAGAGAGGACCGCTGGCGAAGGATGTGGTGCTTAATCTTGGGTTCTACATCCCACCAGCGGAGAACAAAGGAAATACCCCTGACGCCACTGCCGCCGCGGGAGAGGACAAAGAAGGGCCTGGGCAGGAACCGTTGGGGATAAAGGGGATTGATGTCATTATTCCTGCTGCTGATGTACGGGGGTTTGTAAGAGCTGGGAAGCAGATGGCGGCCGATGGGGAAAGGGAAAAGGGGAAGAGCAAGAGTAAGGAAAAACAGACGTGGGAGATTAATGTCAAGAAGCGGCGAAAGTTGGCTGGTCGGTTGGGAGAGGAGGGGTGGGAGTGGAGGACTCCTGTCTCTGGAGACAACGAGACGGAGGAGGGACAGCAACAGTCGCCGTTTACGGAAGCGCTGGGTCGGTATGTTGACAAGCATCTTGGGTTGAATTTGTTTCATCCTGGGGTGAGGGTGACCAAGATCGCTTGTGGGGGGTTTGTGATGTCGGAGGGGAGGCTGAAGGTGTTTGCGCCGAGGGATGGAGCACAGAGACAGAGGGGAGCCGTGTGGAAGTTGGTTTCGGGATTGGTTGGGAAGGCTCAGGGTGGGAAGGCGTTGGCGTGAACACGGTAGTGGTCTAGATTTTAGGAGGCATTAGTCGATTGGAAGGAGTTGTCCTCTTCAGCCTTGCTTGTTCTGTTTTCTTGGTTACTGTTGGCCTTGCGTGGCTGGCCCTTGATACCCAAATGCAACTTGGATTTTGGAAGCCCGAGGCTCCTATGTCACGAAACTCTTTTTGCCTTGCTTTGACACTCGCCAGATAACTTGTGGAAAATGTCCCCGTCGACGGCAAGTTCAACGCAACTCGGCCAAGGACCAGTCAAAGAATTGCCGTCATCAAATGACAATACATCACAATCCGACAGGGCGATGACCAAGATGTGAGGCCGGTGCAGCCGAGATATACTACATTGTGTAGCAAGTGCTTATATACCCTCAAGGACGATTCCATATTGCCCCAGTAACGTGGTTGTCGAAGTCAATGACCATCCCTTTGTCCAACCACACGACCGTTACCCTTCCTTTCTGCCACCCCCTGGCAAGTGAGTTACCCCTTCCCACCTCGCGCCTCAAACACAATACTAACAGATAACAATAGCATGGTATTATGAAGCCATCAATAGACGTCTTCTTAGTAGTAAGGCACAAAACTTGGGCGTTGACACATTTAAGGTCGAGTGTCCTCAACCACGCTAACCACTACTGTCCTCGAGCACAGGATCCTGAACTACACTCATCACTAACGAGAGACTCCAACCTGTCACTCTTCCCATCTCATCCAACCAAACCAACATCCACAATGCTTTCCCAGACCCTCCTCTCCCTCACCCTCCTCCACATCCACCACCTCCTCTTCACCCACCATCAACTTCACCCCCCAGCATAGCGACCACCCCCTCACCCTCACCATCCGTAACCACCCCCCCGTCCCCGAAACCACTACCTCCCTCTTCAACCTCACCGATCCCTTCAACCTCACCGATCCCTTCAACGCCACCTCCCTCTTCAACAACACGGATCCACAGAGGTGCTAGGTAAAGCCAAAAGAAAAGACGGCGTCTACAACCACGCCACCATCGCCATGATGACGGGCAACAAATGCACTGGGGACGCGGCGATCTATTCTGCTGATGAAGGGCAGCATGCCTGTTTTGCGGTGACGGGGAAGGCGAGGAATAGTTTAATTGTTACGGGGAAGTAAGTTTTTTTTTCGTTTGTTTTTGTTTTTGGGTTGGGTTGATGGGGGGTGGTGGTGAAGGTGGTGGTTGGGAATTGGGTGTTGGGTGTTGGGTGATGGTGACTTGGTGATGGTGGTGATGATGGGGAGAAGGGGGAGGGTGAACGGAAGGCGGATGTGGACCGGGAAAGGGCCAAGTGGCCCTGGTGCGGAGGCTGAGGGGAGGAAGGCAAGGAGAAGGGGAGGAAGGCAAGGAGAAGGGGATGATCGAGAACGATAACATGATTGCTGACAAGTTGACCTAAAAATAGTTGCCAAATCCAAGCCTGGTCAGGAACTGACTGCTGTGGGACCCACCAGCAGTTGTCTTACTGGGGATGTACCTATAACATCCAGTATGGGTCTATTTTGGTTATTTGTTGATGACTTCCGGCGTACTTCTGTTTCCTTTTCAGGCGCTCTTTTACATGAGTAAACCTACCCGCAGCCACCCCAAAACCTACACGCACCCTCTTCCACTAGCAACGACCCAGAATTATCAACGTATAGCCATTTTTGCGACGAAATATATATAGTATTAATTACCCTAGCCCATCTAACATCTATCTCTAGTTTTTAGCTATTCCAAACTTCGTTGTTGGCTATGATGAGAGTACGTTGCAAAAGTCGGACGTTGCAAATGCAATTGCCCGTAACAACAACGCTTAGTAACTTATTGAATAAGGAAATTCATACTCATAGCGTATTTAGGAGCCAAACTATAGCCCTATTAGGTTTATAGGAAGTCCTTAAGCGTTGGGGGGAGCGTATTATCCAGTGTCTTAGAATGGGAGGGTGCGTGTAAGTTTTAGGGTGGGTGCGGGTAGGTTTACTCTTTTACATCCATATACGACTTTCATACGCTCCCGTACCCAATATTGAATCTTTTCCCCTCTGCCGTCATGGTTTATGTTCCCTTCCCTTCTTCTCTCTCCAGCAGGTTGTCCCTCTATCTTTGGTAGTCAATCCTCCACCCCCTTCCCTGCCAAATAGTCAACAGACGACTTCAACCGCCCTACTACATTGTTGAGCATATCCTTCCTCCATCTTTCCACCGCCCCCTTCGCCCCATTTCCTGACCTTCCCGACATGGACTTCTCCAACGACTTGTCATTGCCACTACACCCTCTGTTCCCCCCCAAACACCAATCCACCGCAGACGCATAATCTGACCCCGCCTCCCCCTGGACTTTACGCTGCCAATCCCTCGCCGCAGCCACGTCATAAATCGCCCGCACGTGGTCATTGGTCGCGGGCGACTTGGCGTCATACCGTCGCCGGCAGGGCTGATCTTTTAGGCGCTTGCCGAAGCAGAGTTCGAGGAGGATGATGCCTAGTTGGTCGAGGGATGTGCCTATTGGTACTGTTTCCTGTTTTGTCTTGTTTGGGGTTATTGTGGCGGTGAGTTTCTGTTGAACATAAGGTTCGTTCAAAAAAGCCGGCTCGTCCTCGTCGAGGAAGTAATCGTCATCTTCTGAAGTCGAGTCTCGGAGGAAGATGATGTCGGTTTTGGTTAGGGTGGTGGGAAGCCAGGGAGAGTCAAGAAGCTGGACGAAGGAGGAGGCGATGGTAAGGGCTATGGAGTATCGTTGCTTGCGCTCGAGGATGTGGAAGAGATCTCCGTCGATGATATTTTGGAGGGTGATGGCGGTGTGTTGTTGGGTGGTGGGTTCGTAGGGAAGGTCGTAGATGTGGTATGAGATGTCGTCGTTGATGAGGTAGCCGTAGCTGGGCTCGCCTTGGATTCCGGGTGAGGCTGGTGCTTCAAGGGCGGTGCAGAGACAGTGGATGATCTGCTTTGAGGTTGTAGTCTGTGTGGAAACGGTGGAGGTGATGGCGGTTTTGTCTTCTTGCTTTACTTCTACGAGCGTTACTGTTGTTGTGGATCTGTTGATGAGGAGTTAGCTTGTAAGTGATCCAGTCTTTGACACAACTGCTTGACTCACTGGAACCCCGCGAACATTGCGGTTTTGCCTCTTGATTTTTTCGGGTTTCCCCAGTGCGGACTTGAGTGGACGGATGTCCTTGTGCGATGGCGTGTGTATCGGCAAACTTATCCGGGATTTGGCCTCCTCCTCCGGCTCGGAGTTGACACCCTGTTTCCCAACAATCTTCGTTTTTCGGGCATTCCATGTTGCCGGAGACGGCTGTTCTTTTGTGAACAGGACCTCAAACTCGGGCGTAGCATTGCTCCGATGTCGTAAAAGAAGATTCGCACAGTGGGTGTTGCATCGGCAGTTCCAGCTTGAGGCAATGGCGTTGAAGAATTTGTCGGCTTTTACCCAAAATTTGCAGAGCGCAGTATCGATGGCGGCAGCTTTTGGCTGAACGGTAACAGGAGTTTGAACGGAGAGATCTCTGAGTTTGTCGCTGCCCTCGAGAAGGTCTCGGAGTTTTCTGTTGTAATCTTCAAATTTGCTGAACAGACGGGTTCGCTTCTCCTGGCCCTTGACGGCGAACTTGAATCTGAATCTTTGGAACGACCGATTGTCACTGTCTCTCAACCCTTACAAACGTGCAATCATTGTAGCCTCTCCCTAGGTAGTTTATGTCATTGGCAAGCCTGAAGGATAATATGCCGTGCAGTTGAGATTATGCGGTCCGCTAGGTATGGACTTACAGGTGTAGTGATCTTGCTCTGAACTGATGAGTGACCCAAAGCAAGCTCATGAACGATGTCTTCCATAACCTGCTTTATCACCTGAATGCAATCCATATACACCTCATAGCCATCGTCTAGGCGTTCCTGCAGAAGGCGGGCTGTCTTGGGCTCGGTCCACCAACTCCCAAACGGATCCTTGATGAGTTCGGGGATCTTGTCTTTTTCCGTTTCGTCATCGATCATGAGAGGAAGAAGCAGCTCTTTCAGATTTCTTTCGTAGAGCAGGTTATTGTATTTCAGTTGCCGACGCCATTCCTGGTATTCCGTTCTGATCTTGAAGAAGACATCAATGCGCCTGGCTACTTCGCCATATCTGTCCAGGACCTCAATGGCGAGAGGCAAGGCACCCAGCACAAGACCGGCTATCTCGAGGCCAGACATGACCGTGAGAAGACGGGAGGCATGTACTAGGTATTTTTGGGCAAGACGGCGAAGCTTGAACGACCACGATGGAAGTGTTTGGTTGTGGTGTCTGGGGTTTTCAGCAAGTGCAGTCCGAAATTGACGGCAGTGTTTGGGATGTGGGAAAGCAGAGCCTGAGAGACTCACTCAAAGTCGGAGAGGATGAAGGTTTGGGGGATCACGGAGGATGCAATGGTAAGTGCGGGGAATGCACAGGCCGGGCTGTGTAGGGTAGCAACGCCCCGGCGGCTAGCGGGTAGAGACATCAAGCCCAACGGAAAGTGCATCCAGTCAAGTTGAGGCATCGACGCCCACCATTCTATGCATCAGAGCCTCTGATTTGACGTTGATCCGAACGAGTCGAGTCCTAAGGTAAGCCGGGCGAGATTACATGCGGGGTAGCTGAGAATCTTTCCATGACTCCAAGTCGTCGAACATCACGGCAGCGACTGCATGCCGAAGATTTACATACTCCAATCTCCCACGAACCCCGACAAGCCCGATTGCTGTCCTTCGGTATCCCGGAGGAACTCACAGACACAATTTGACCCTATATCGACCGCGAAACATACTCTTTATTCTCGATCTGCTTTCAGGTGTCGCATCGTCCAAAAGAGGGAGCTCTACGAGTTGGATGTCGACGGCGAACCCAAGCTGGACAACGAGACAATCAGCGGGAGATGCCGCAATATTCGAAAACAGTTGACAGACCTGCTGACCGCACTTGAGAATGGATCCGCCCAAGTGTCAACGACAGTCACCTCCTCTTCGATCAAAGATGTTGTGGAGAGATTCATGCTGTGGGCAGGAAATCTGGGCGCATTGCGGAAGCCTGCATCAAAGTTGTCTCTGGATAGCAGACTGGCAAGTTCCTCGGACTTGCGGGACTACATCTGTACGGAGTTGGAGGATATGTCTGAGGCTATTGAGGACCGTATGTCGTTGCTGAACCCCTACTCGCTCATTTCATCTTCATAACAGTGCTCTGACAATTGTGGAAATAGTCATGAACATTGTGAATGGTTCCATGCCCAACCGGGATATTGGTTACGGTTCAGGTTCGGAGAACAACCTCGACATGGAGTCTGATGAGAGTTCTTACTCCGACGATCCCATTGATGAGGCTGGTTCTATTCTCCAAGTCATCTCACAGGGCATTACATCGCTTTTGAAGATTGGCATTCTGGTCCGACAGCCAGCCTCGAGCGGAACCGACCGCTTTCACCGTGCATCTCGGGACTCGACCAATGCCTTCTTGGATCGTTTTGACATTGACTATGTACAGCACAAGCATCCCAAACTGGGGTCTGGTGAGCAGTCATCGCGTATGGGCAAGGCGATTGCAAAGCGAAGACAGTTCATTCGCTATTGTCGCGATCACAAATCCAATCTGGCAGCCGAGGAAAATGAAGGGAAAGATACCTCTAATCTCCAGATCGGAAGCCAAAAGGCCACAACCGCCAAGCAGTCCAGCAAAGCGACAACGTTCGTTGCCAAGGAAAATCTGATGAATATCCTTCAGGGATCCGTGGATGTCCTTGAGGAAGAGGAAGACGCTGTCTCTCATTGCAGCGTTTCTACCACGTCCGAGTCACTGGCAATCCTGAAACTACCTCGACTCGCAGACCTATCACCGGAAGACGACCCCTTCGAATGTCCTATTTGCTACACTCTTCAGCAATTCCGCTCGGAACAGGCATGGCGGTAGGTCTGACCACATCACATCTCAAATAAGGGCACCTCAAACTATTGCAACCGAAATGAGACTAACAAAAATGTCGGACACTTTAGGCGTCATGCGTATCGCGATCTCAAAGCTTATGTTTGCACAGTGGGTGGAACCGAGTGTGACGACAAGTTCTTCGACGACCGGACATCGTGGTTCAACCACGAACTTGAACAGCATAGATGCAGTTACGTTTGTGTACTCTGCGGAGCCAACGAGGGGCAAAACAAGAGAAAATGAGACGAGCTCAGACAACATATCCTCAGTGCTCATGGAGATTTCGAATCCGATCAACTCGAGCGACTTGAAGATGCTGGCCGGGACACGGTCACGACCTTCAAGGCTAACGATTGTCCCTTTTGCGATGATTGGTCTGAACTCATGGCAAAAAAGATGCCGCCTGGGAGAAATTCTCAATTTGGAGACGGCTTCTTCATCAACACTAGCCGGTTCAAGAAGCATGTCGCCATGCACTTGGAGCAACTTGCCATTTTTGCCCTCTCACGACATAAACACGAAACTGGCATGGACGAAGATGGATCGCACGGCTCGGATTCGCGTGTGATGGATTCTCGCAGCTCGGCAAGTCTTGCAGGGTCATTCAGATCAGGAGACGACCGTGACATTGAAGATTATCAAGGTGACCAAATGATGCCGATTGATCAAAACCAAGTCATTCAAGCCGTTTATTCTAGGATGAAGTCTCAGCCTACGCCACCGATTGGTTGGCAGGCTACATAGATCCAGTTGCCGGAACGCGTCCAAAAGACGTCAACTATGTACGAAGCTCGGCCATTACTTGCAAAAAGCTTAGAGGCTGATATTTACTCTAGTGCTACTAATCTTAAGCTGGCTGGGGAAGTCGAGAGCTGGCAAGAGGCGGTGAATCACGCGATCGAATTCGAACGACGACTCTTTATGCAGTCCCCGGATAAGGTGAGAAGCCCCCCTCTGCATCATAGAACCGTCTTGGTTAACTTGATTGACCAACCTCAGCCGACGTACGAGAACCTAATGGGTCAGCGATTCCAACAACTTGTAGAACAGCGGCAGGCTCGTGCAGGTGCTACGGTGCTCCTCTCCTCCTACAAGAAATGCAAGGGCGAGGGGTCAATTGTTCCTGCTGAGTCTGGAACAGAAGATATGGAACATGAAGCATCGTCGAGATCATTAAGTTTCACTGAGTTCCCGTCATCCTATGGGTATACTGAGGCGCAAAGATGGCCCCCCTTTCCGGATCCCAGTGCAAGTTTTTCGCGAGAAGATCTTCCTCAGGAGAGTGCCAGCGGCAATCCAGCCCCGCCCCCTTCTAATACCGCGCCGGATTTACCATCAACGCAAGGCTCACCAAAGGATGACTTGGGCTCAACGAATACGTCTACGGAAGCACTTGAACCGCTCGAGGAAAGCGCCTCGCCGGTCGCTGACTCGGAAGAGGAAGAGCATGAAGCCGAAAGTATCGAGGATAAAAGCACTAGTGGTAGCCACGGCTCATACAAGAAGGACAACGACGCATTGAAAGCCCTTAGAAGCCTTGGACACGATGCAACCGATTGGCTTCATCGCTTGGATGACCTCAACAAACAGATTGAAGAACGACAAGAAGAGTTCGACCAATCAGTCGGTAAAGCCTCGCATCCACGGGCTGAGGGAAAACCAGGATCCCCATTAAAGGAATTAAACCAAAGTCTTGGACCTGACAGTAAACCAGCGGCCCGTCCCGACAGTCCAAAGGATATGACGACGGGTGAACCAGCAGGGGCAAATAATTCGGGAATCAATGTATCTCCGCCTCCTATGTCTACCGAAGAAGATCGACAGAGGGAGCAGTAAAAGCAGCAGGCTCGCCTGAAGGAGTTGGAAAGGCAGCAGCAGCAGCAGCAGCGGCTTGCGCAGGCCAAAGAATATCGCGACCGGTTGGAGCGCGAGCAGGCCGCGGAGCGCAAGCGAAATAAGCTACATGAAAAGCTGGAGCTGCGCAAGGAGGAGGAGCGTCGTCTCGAAGAAGAAGAACACCGTCGCGAAATAGAGTACGAGAAGCAGCACCAGCTGCACGAGGCCAAGTTCCACCTGGACATGATCAAGCGGCGCGAAGAGGAGCGGCGCACTAGCAGAGCTCTGGCGGCAAAAGATACGAGGGACCCCTTGCGAGATACCGCCAAGTACCAGACCGAGACAGTTGGTGGTGATCCGATGTGGCCCACGGCAGAAATTCTCGGTAGAGCCGCCACAGGGAGTAGTGATGAGAGCGATGACAGACACTCGGCACCAGAACGAACCACACAATCAGGCACCGCTGTTGTTCCGGGTATCAGCAGGTACGAAGAACGCAAAGACGACTTTGTACATCTTGTTTATAAGAACGCCGTGTACCCTGAGGATTTTCCTGCGTACTCAATTAGAGACGGTAAACTCCTGTTCAGCGATGTAAAGGAGCGCGTAGCAATGAATTCGGAAATTTCCGATCGCCACGGGAGGATCCGTCTACACTATAAGGGCAGGCGCTTGAGGGACGATGACAAGCTTGTTGAAGAGTATGGAGTCAAGCACAACAGCAAAATCACGGTTACGACAAGCGAGTGGGAATCTGAGAGCAGCCGACATGAAGATGTCACCATTCGGGCGATGAAGGAGGATGAGATAATTGGAGTAGATGGTATTACCCAGGAGGAGGAGGAACCTTCAAGTGCGCCAACAGGTCCCAAGCGACAACTTCCCGAGTCCGCCAAATACTCGGATCAGTTTCAAGCGTTGGGAACGCCGGATGCATAGATCCCGGACGAGCCGGCAAGCCCGTCACAACACGTTGAGCCGGTACCGCCGCCCTCTGTACCTCAGGTTGCTGCTCCACCACACCCCGATTCGGCCCAGGACAGCAATTTCACCGAGCCACAACCAATCATAGTAAGTACGGAACCCTTATTTACCGTCCAGCGAAGTATTGACGAAGCTGTAGAACATTCGTAAAAAGCCGGTAGCTGAGTGGAGCCCCGAGCAAGATGACCTTATCTGGCGTCGGAAGACTGCGTCTGAGAGGATCATGACTTCTTCGGCAATTGCCGAGGAGCTCTACAAAACATTCAACGTGGCAAGAACACCGCATGCGGTGTTAATGCGATGGCACAAGCTCGAGAAGCAACGCATCAACAGCAATGTGAGTAATAGGTACCCAACATTGATGATGACGAGTTTGCCGACCCACTCACCCCAGATGATGTGCGGCGAGACTTACGACGCCTTCTTGCAGGATGATGTAATAGCGGAGGCATGTCCTCAGCCGTTGACGATGGGCCGTACGAGAACGCAACAAAGTCAGAGTGGGAGAGGTTTAGGGAGCGAAATAAGCCTTCTCAGGAGAAGATAATCGTCATCAAGCATGATCAGCCATCTCCAGCGACGGATGTACCCCGTAGTTCGGACTACTATAGAAGATAATGAAGTTAGGTAGAACATGGCCCATGGTCCAGGAACTGTGGTCAGTTGTAGCGTACTGCTCTGGGAGAGGAAGCTGCAACCACTGTTACAGGGAACAGAAGAAGATTGGCAGGAACATCTTGGGGCTGCGACAAAGTTGACGGCTGGAATGGAACAGCTTTAGGGGAGGGGCAAGGAGAAAGAGGAGTTGAGGAAGAAGAGCTAAGCGGGGAGGAATGAAAAAAAAGAGAAAACCTACCCACACCCATAGTTTTCCTCCTTACACCCATAGTCCCCCAGGGTTAGGGTCCCTGGCACCCCATAACAGTCGATGACACCCGACATTCAAAAGTCTACTTTTAGCCGTGAAAATACCCTATTTCAATATACGAAATATTGTATTATATTTCTGTAAAACTTCTGGCCAGTCTTATACTTTCATATACTTATACCCTATCCCTTTTTATTTTAATAAAATCGAGGGATTTCCTACGTTATATTACTACTACCCTATAATACGACCCTACTAGTAAACTGCGCCAGCTTTCTACGGTTAGTTAATATACGTTAATTAATTGTATTATAGTTAATAAGTATTAATAGCTAGTTATAGATACCCTTTTATCGTCGTCGCTTATTTACTTCGTTTATTAATATAGATACGACTTTTACTTCGTCCGCTTCCTTTACCCGTAAGAAATAGGCCGTCCCTATTAGCGATCCCTTCTTATCCTTACTTTTACAATCGACGTTCGATAAAATTCGACGAAACTTTATAGTAATATATTGTTAATATTATTTTAGTATTGTAATTTAGCGTAGTTATAAATACCTTATTAAAAATTTTAATTACTTTTAGTATAATAAGATTTATTATTATATTTATTAATATGATTATATTATGTATTTCCTATACGCTAAATCTAACCCTTATAGTAAGAAACGGTTTATATTTAGAAAGTTCGCGCCGGGTTATCCTTTTCGTATTGCAATAGAAGTAAAGACGATAAATGGTCTTTATTAGTCAATTAGGGTTTTCGATACTTTTTATAAAGGTTACACCCTATTATAGTATTTTGAAAATTATTTAACTTTGTAGAAGAAGGTATTGAATTTAAATAACGAGGCGCGCTAATATATGACGGGTTTGATTAACATTAGGGAGTTAATAATATAATTTATTTATTTTACGGTTAAGTCCCGGTATTTTAAATCCCTTTTAACCTTTAAAGATATTAGTAATATATGGTTATAGGCTACGAAAGTCGATTACGATAGGTATAAAAATATATAGTTGTTTATTAAAAGGCTATTATTTATTATTATATCGATTAGGATAATGAATAAAAGATTATATTATTGAATGTCTTTTGGTTATTGGGTTCCTAGCGTAAAATATAGTAACGTAGCCTTTATAACCTTACTTTCGATACGACGTATAAAATTAACCGCTACTTCTTCCCCTTAGTATAGAGAGCCTTCTTATTTATAAAAAGAATTTAATACTAATCTTTTAAATAGTATTTAATAATAAGTGGGTAATTAGATTTATTTATTTAATAAGGTAAATTAAGTAAGTAATATATACGTCCGACATTCTTAAGCTTGCAATTATTATTAATAATAGGGATGCGTAATTAATTAAGGTAATTGATAAGGGGTTCCCTTCGGTATAATAATAGTGGTGTGTATAGTATTTTAATTATAATTTCGTTAAGAATATTAAGAAGTTTTAGAAGCGTTTAAACGGTAGTAATAATATTAATAACGAGGGTGAGGATAATGATGAGGATAAGGAGGAGTATTTTAACAAGGAGGAGGAGGATAATAGGGAGGTTACCGTTCTAGTTATTAGTATTACGATTATAGAGGAGGATAACGTCGCTAAATTCTATCGATTTAATTAATATATATGTATTATAGTTAGAACTAAGGTTAGGCTCCCTTCTTTATTAGATAAAGTAGTTAATATTCGTTTAGGGCTATTTTTTATATAGTAGTATATAGTGTATATTTTTTTAGTTTTACAGTTTATAAAGGTATATAATATTTTCGTCGGTTAGTTCGAAAAATTATAAGAGGCTATTATCGTTTATATTCAGCGGGAGTATATATTATATTAGAAGGAGTAAGTTGGATGTTATATATTAAATCATTTAATTGTAGTTAGCGTACTACTTTATTAAATAAGTTTAATAATAGCTCCTTGGAATCGTATTACGTTTTTATTTGTGGCGGTTTTATTAATTTGTATAAAGTTTGCGAACTTTATATTAATAACTAATATATTTATTATAAGGATGCTATTATTACTTCGTTTTTACATATACGTATAAAGTTGATTAATACGGATTGGTTAGGTAAATACCTTTTCGAATTTAGTTTATAGGTAGTAGATCTCCTTAATTATTAATATTATTTTCTTTACCCTCCTATCCCTATATAGTAAAAGTACCCCCTTACCCTTATATAATAATCGATTTAGGAAGTAATATAGTTTGCTATATATTTACAATTTAGAGGCGGCTATAAGGGAAGTTAGCTTTAAGGGTATTTAGGTTACTAAGGAGGATTATTATCTATTTTAGTATTTACGTTAGATTAGAGTAAGGTATTACTATTTCCCCCTTATTATTTCTTATATTAATATTTTATAAAGGATTTAGTACATTAATATTTTACTATCAGGATCGTAGAGGAAAGTAGGTTGAGGTGCCTACGGATACCGTAAGTACGTAAAGGACGTTAAGGTAGGGGGAGGATTAAAGATATATTAATAATTAATCCTAATAATTTTGGAGGCGAGTTCGACCGGCTATTTATATCGTTATAAACTCTATTTTATAATAGTTAAATCTACGACGGCTCCGAACCATTCTAACGCTATACTACAACGCTATACTATACGGATATCGGCGCTCTTTAGTATTAGTACGGGTCTAACGCCCAATAAGTCCCTAACGACCTAATATAACCCCCCCTCCCCTAAATTTCTATTTTAGAAATTTATAAATACCCTCCGTCGGTAGCCTGCCTACCGGTACTTTTCCTAACCGTTCCTCTATAATCTATTTTTATAAATGAATATACCGTCGTTAAAACGCCGCCCTCTCCGTTTCTTCTTATTTCCCTACTAATACTAACCTGCTACCCAATACCCGTTAATCCCGTTTCCTAGCCGGCTTCGACCGCCTTTTACTTACCGTCCGTTATCTCTTTATTTTTTACCAGCCGCCATTCTAACTTTAAATTAACCGCCTTTCGTTTTATTATATTTCACTCCCCCATTATTATTTTAATGTCTATTGGCCGTCCTTTCGTCCTAAATTATCTTCCCTACTTTTCTTTTATTCTTTTTTATTACCTTCTTCTATTACTTTTCTTACCCTTTATCGTTTAAAATTAATTTATTTAAAATTCTTTCGATAATATCCGTACTTTTGTACTTTAATTATTTACCCCGATTCCACTTTATTTTATATTTTTAATTTTATTTATAAGAATTTTCTTCCCTCTTTTCTTTTCTTCCTCCTCTTCTTTTTCCATCCTTCGTATATATTTATATATTTATTTATATTATTACTATAGCCGCCTTCTTAAATTCTACCGACTAGTATACCTTTTATAATTTAACTTTAGTAAGCGCTTTTCCTTTTTATTTTATATTTTTTCTATTAACTATTTAATAATATTATTTACAATCCGCTTTATACTATTTCTTTTTAGAAAGCTACGAACGCTATTACTAATTTGCCCCCCGGCGCTACTAATACCGTTATAGTCCTAATTATAAATTACTTCGTTTATACCTCATAAAATTTATTGAATTCCTATTTTTCTTCTATTACTATTAGTACTAATAAAATTATTTTTCTAAATAATAATACGTATTCGGCGTACCCCGAAATTTTGAACCGGCGCCTTTATAATTTCTTTCTGGTCCTTTATAATTATATAATTGCGTTTTAAAAAAACGTAATCGCCGTTTACGTGAAAGATATAAATAATATTATATTTACTTTTATTATTACCCTCTACGATTCTACTAATATTTTAATAATTAATATTTATATTTTTTATAAACGTTTTTATATCTTTCTTTTAATACCTTCCGAATTTTATAACTGCTGCCTTAACGAATAAATAGAGCGCTACGATTTCCGCCGTCTTATTAATAGTCGTCCTACCGGTTAAATTACCCTTACTACTATTTGTATTCTTGATAACGAATAATTCGATATTATAGTTCCCGTTTCTTTAGTAGCTCCCGCTACCCCCGCAAGTATAATTAGTCTAGTAGATATCCTCTAGGTTATAAATTCGGTATATATTAATATTTGTTGTTTATTGCCCGTCGAAGCGTTCCCTTAGCCCTATAATAGGAATACGCTAGTATTAGTAATTAATAATACGATAATAGACGAAAGTAAAATTTAAATTTAAATTATTTATTAATAGACGCGGCGGT